AGTGGGGGGCAGTGTGTGTGTGGGTGCACCCCTGCGTGAGTGCTGATAATGCTCCGTTTTCTGGACCGGGAGATTGCTTAGGAATGCTTACTTTATAATTACTTATTAACTACATGCATCGGTATTATGCGCTTTTCTGTATGTGTTATATTTCACAGTGAAGAAGTATTTTTAAAAACTGCTATACAAGTTTTGTTTTCACAAAATTAAGCTTAGTTTCTGGCTCCAGCTTCTTTGCTGGGAAAACTGCTTATGAGAAATACCTCAAATGAATTCCATGTGGTTGCTCTCACTGTAAGCTTGGAATCCTTCCTTCCTTTAAACATTTTTTTTTTAAAGTCTAAGTAACTCATTCACTTACAGAAGTTGTGCATAAAATAAAGTTTGTTTTTTTTAAAGTCAATTGTTGAAAATACCACTGTAAGTTGTATTAGAGAAAGAATATCTTTACTATAGCATTCCTTTAGTGGCTCACAGAACTGTCATTTTAAAATGTATTTCATTACTGAAACACAATCTAGTAAATGCCACACTGAAACAATCTATTCAGCACCATAACATGAGACATATTGAAAACATCTGTTCTTTTTGTTTAACACTATAGTAAACTTCCCACATTGCGTAACATGCTCCAATACTTGTGTCTTTCGGTCTTTAGCAATGTTTTATATTCATATTCTGAAGGTATTTGCTATCAAAGGAATGCAGTTTCTTCCCCACATTTGTGTTCCATGTGTTGCTGGGAATAACACTTATCTTCACAAGAAGAAAACTATTTTCCCAATGGTATGTTGCTTTTTGACTTTTTATTTTTAAGGAAGCTCAGAAAAGACTTCATACGATTTATAATTGGTGAATTTTCTTTAAAGTATTGCTTGAATCGTTCATTCCTTAAACATTTTAGAAATATCATTGAGCTTTATCTTTAAGTTTGGATGTCCAGTTTTTAAGTGATTAGCTAATTGTGATAGGGCTTCTCTGTTGGCTCCGCTGGCAAAGAATCCGCCTGCAATGTAGGAGACCCCAGTTGGATTCCTGGGTCAGGAAGATCCACTGGAGAAGGAATAGGTTACCCACTCCAGTATTCCTGGGCTTCCTTGGTGGATCAGACAGTAAAGAGTCCTACAACGGGGAGACCTGGGTGCGACCCTTGGGTTGGGAAGATCTCCCGAGAAGGGAGTGGCTACCCACTCCAGTATTCTGGCCTGGAAAATTCCATGGACAGAGGACCCCATGGCTACAGTTCATGGGGTCACAAAGAGTCAGACATGACTGAGTGACTTTCACTATTACTCAGAACATTATCTATTAACTGTAATGCATCCTTCAGGTGAAGCTGTTAGCAAAAGTAACTATAAATCCATACCTAAAACAGTTTTTTAAAATTTACTTTTAATTGGAGAATAATTCCTTTACAGTGCTGTGTTGGTTTCTGCTGTACAATGTGAATCAACCATCAGTAAACATATACCCCCTCCCTCCAACCCACCCCGCAGGTTGTCAGAGCACCGGCCGGCCGAGCTCCCTGTGATAAACAGCAACTCCCCACTACCCGTCTATTTCACACAGGATAGTGTATCTATGTGAAGGCTACTCTCTCAGTTCGTCTTACCCTCTTCTTCCTCTGCTGTGTCCACAAGTCCTTTCTCTAAGTCTGTTAAAACAGTGTTTAACGATTATTGCCAACCGAATGTCAATCTGATTAGTCATTAGTTTTTCACCTTGCAGTGTGACTCCCAAAGAGTGCCCGAAATGTCAGCTCAGTCCATTGTGTTTGCCTGTTCCTGCATTATTCACATTGTCTCCATTGATCCATGCTGTAATGGTTTACTTAAATATCATCTATAAATCCATTTTGTCAGATACAGAAACTGCAACATGTGGCAATGTGTTACCTATACATATGTATATCTAGGGCTGATTCATATTGATGTTTGGCAGAAACCAGCACAATTCTGTAAAGCATTTATCCTTCAACTAAAAAACAATTTTAAAAAAGTGAAGAAAGGAGAGAGTCCACCCCTCTCTCACTGTGTGCTGTGGTGCTCCCACCCTCTCCCCGGAACACCCTGAATGCCTGCCCACCTCGGGATCAAAGTGGGGTGCCACCACCAATCCTGATTAAATATCAGCAGAGCTTAATTTCTTTCCTTTCTTTAGGAGGGGAAGTAAAAAATAAATGTTTGAAGATAAAAATTCAAATACCTTTTCTGGAATTTCAGGGGTCGATGTCGGCTCCCCACTTTGGAGATGCATCTTACATTCATATGTGGTTATATTTCATCTCAGGATAAGAACATCTATCTGAATGAATATGACATGATGGCATGCCAGCCAGGAAACAAAAACATACTATTAAGGCTGTAGATCCTTCCTTGTGTGTTATGCAGTGACCTTGAGGTTGGAGGACATAAGATAATCCAATTTGTTACACCCTGGGAAAAGTGAAAACAAACAAACCCTTAATGCTACTAATGAGGGAAACTACAAATATATAAAACAAATAAAAATTGTACATAAAAGAGAAATGATTATTTAAAAGGTAGTCTTTAAGATAGTTATGAAAAAAAATCTTTAAGATATCAGGAAATGGACCATCAGTGATATTGTGTGCCTAGCTCCTATAATAACTGACCCCAAAATGTCTGGTTTAATTCAATAAAGGTCTATTTTCTCACTCATATCAGTACAGTGCATGCGGTGAGGAGGCTCTGCCGTAACTAATCATTCAGAGACTCAGGTTGCTTCCAAGCTGCAGATCAAACACATTCAAGCACATGGCTTCAAGGCTGACCTGGCTTCATCCAGTTGGTAGATGGCCAGATGAAAAAAAATGGAGATGGTACACTTCTTAACTGCTCAAGAGGGATCATATTCCTTCCACTAGTTGAGAACTAATCTCATGGCCATATCTACATGCAAAAACTCTGGGAAATGTCCTTTATCTATGGGACCTGGAAGAGAAAATGGGTTTGGTGAGCATCCAGCTAGTCTTTGTCAAATAAACAGAGTTGGTCTAGAGATTCTAAGGTTATAACTTGAGTATCACCAAGTCTGACTTTGGAAATCTCTTGGGAAGCCTCTACCACTCTCACTTCTGCCTGCTGTAATGAAGGCGTCAGAGGACCAGCACTAATTTTAGCTCTTGCTGTTCCCTGAATAAGCCATGATCATCCACATCTCTCCGTCTTTGCATGTGATTTGCAAATAAGGTCTGTCCGCTGTTTCCAGTATTTCTAACCTCCCCTTCCTGCCAAGCTAGCAGGCTTCTCCTCCACTTCTAAGACCTAAGATAGCGGTTACTTCCTCCATGCACTTCTCTCAGATGACACGGAAGGCACAGATCTCTTCTTGATGTTCACTGAACTTTATCCTTGTACTTTGCTCCCACCTCTATTACTGAATGCATAAGCCTGCATGATAGTTTTTAAGGAACAAGTACATTTTCACAAGGATCAGATGCATCAATATTCACAACATAGTGACCATTAATAATAGCTTTAGCTTCTCAAAGATAAGGACTGGGTCTTATGTGTCTTAATATTTCCTGTGCATACCAGTGCTGGCCTGGCTTCATACTGAATAACTGAGGAAAAACTGAACGCTGTCTGCCACTTTCCAGCTTCCCAAGCCTTCCTGCCACTTTCCAGTAATGCTAACTCTCTCTCTTTCTGTCTCGCGGTAAAATGCATTAAACACAACATTGACCATTGCCACCATTTAAAAATGCACATTACTATGCACCTTGTTTGCAACAGTTCTTTTCACATTTTCATCTCACAAAACAGAAACTCTATACTCATTGAACTCCAAATTTTCCTCTCCCAGAAGCCCCCTTAAAACCAGCATTCTGCTTTCTAAGAGTCTGACTACCTGAGATATCTCATGTAAGTGGAATAATGCAGTCTTTTTCTTTCTATGAAATATAGCTTATTGCCCTCAAGATTCATTCATGTTGTAACATGTGACAGGATTTCCCTCTTTTCTTAGACAGAATATTTCTTTCTATGTATATACCACATTTTCCATATCCATTCAACCATTCCAGTGTCTTTGTTTTTGACTTGGGGTTACTGGTGGTGATTGATGACCCATGAGAAAAGGTGATCTTGTACTATTTCAGGGTGCTTCTAGAGGCTAAAAGAGAAACTATACTGGGTGCAAAGGGAAATAAGATTTTTAAACATCAGTGACTTACATGAAGAATGCCCCCCATTATACCCTATCTGAGCATGAGAAACTATTAAACTCCTTTCAGCTGAGCAACCGGGGCCCACAATAAAAAGCTGCTCACATTCCAAACACCTCTCACCCTGGGGTTTTCACGGCCCTACTCAGCACCGCCTGTTTCATAGCCTCAATATAGCTCTGTTAAGAAAAGAAACGGCAACATTTTAAAGTAGGGCAAAATAAATAAAGGGATAAACAAGAACTCTTTCAACACGGAGCACTTGCAAGAATTTTCATGTTTATGGAGAGGCAGAGCCCCAGAGTAAACTCTAGCTCCTCTTCGAATCCAGTGGATTCCAGTGTTCACTTGCATCGAGGCGGTTTGAGGCCCTTTGGGGACACTCACAGCCTTTAGTTCAGGGCGTTATCATGAAAGAATCTAAAGTATCCTTGCATTAGCATGATCGTTATTTTTTCAGCTGGTCGGAGGAGCTATTATTAACCATGTAGCCATAACGCGTACCGAAAACCTCCCCACGTAAGCTTGCATTTGATCTGTAAACACGTTAAGCAACCTCACGCGTAACGACTTCCTACAGTCATCACAATCAGAGCCTCAACACTTAACAACAACAACAAAAATCCTCCGGCTTTTGGTCAAAAAAGATGCCAAATATAGCTTGAAGTAGTAAATAATCCTCCCGAGAAGCGACGTTCGCGAATTAATTGGTGCGTGAACAAAGAACCCTTTCTGCACCACGATGAATGTTGCCTTTCTTTTTTTTCTCCTAAGTATGATTGTAGAAAACAGCTGTGCTACATGTTGACAAATGACCAAGCGGCGGACTTGGTAAAAACACTTTTGGTCAAGGCCAAGAAGTGGGGGAGAAAAAAAAAATTGGGCTGCTGGAGAGGCCAGGGGCTGGCTTCCCTTACCTTTTTTCTTTTTTTTTTCCCCGAGTCTTTAGGGAGCAGGGGCCGCAGCCGCCCCATCGCCACCCCCCGCCCCTTTCCCCGGCTCGGCTCCGGTTACAGCCTTTTGAGTTGAGCAAACTTGCTGCAGGCGGATTGGTGACCGGGAGCTCTCAGGCCGGGGCGTCGTATTTATTAATTTATATTCCTCGGCGCCCCGCGCTGGCCGTTCCTTTGTATCCGGCCCGCCGCCGCCGCCGCCGCCCGGGCTCCGGGGGGAGCCTCAGCGGGGAGCGAGGCCCCCGCGTCCTCCCGAGGACACCCCCCTCTCCAAGGCCGGCACGTGCGGCTGCCGCCCGGCCCGCAGAAGGGGGCGGAGGCCCGGCTTCTCCCCCACCCGCCGCCGAGCCACAAGCCGGAGGCGCGGCGGCGGGCCGCCCGGCCGGGGGAGCGCGGCGCCCGGCGAGTCTCCGTGGCGGCGGCGGGGGCCCGGGAGCGGGAGCGGCGGGTCCCCCCCGCCCCGGGATGCGCCCCGCCACTTCCTGACTGGCTGGCGGCGCGCACGCGGCCCCCGGAGCTTGTTCGCCCGCCCGCTCTGCGTCGGCCGCGCCGCGCTGGAGGCGCGCGAGGAGGGGGAGCCGCGGCCCGGGATGAGCTGATTGCTGGGGGGCGCGCGTGGTGGTGGCGGGAGGGCGGAACCCACGCCGCCGCCTGGCCCCCCGGAGGCCGCGAGGAGCCGACCTTTCTCCGCGTCGCCGCCCGGCCCCGGGGGACTGGAGATCATGTACGTACGCGTCGCGGGCCCGCTCTGGTCTCCAGCCCCGGCGCGTGCCGTGCGCCCCACCCCGGGCCCGGGGGGCTCGCGCGCGCCCGTCCTCGCCGCGCGCTGCCCCCTGCGCCCACGAAGGCGCGCCCCGCGCTCACCACGCGCCTCTTCTCCCCCCCGGTCTCGGCCGCCTTAGGTCCATTCACATCGTGGCGCTGGGGAACGAGGGGGACGCGTTCCACCAGGACAGCCGGCCGTCGGGGCTCATCCGCGCCTACCTGGGGAGAAGCCCGCTGGTCTCCGGGGACGAGAGCAGCTTGTTGCTGAGCGCGAGCGGCGCGGCCGCGCGGCCCGTCTTCACCGAGTATCAGGCCAGCGCGTTTGGGAACGTCAAGCTGGTGGTCCACGACTGTCCCGTCTGGGTAAGGGGGCTGACGGAGCTTTCCTTTCCTTTCTCACCCCCCCCCCTTCATGAATGTCAACGTCCAGGTCACCTGGGGAGAGTTTTCCTTTTTTAAAAAACATTTTGGGGGAAGTCTTTGATCCTTCGTTTCAGGGGGCAGGGGCCAGCCTAATCAAAGAACACTCTTAGAAGGCAAAAAAAAAAAAAAAGCCCCAGTGAGGATGTGAAGCACTTAGGCGTGCGTTTCACGATTGTGGGTTGTCTCTTGTTTAAGACAGCTGACCCTTAAATGTCCCAACCCCAAGGGACAGGGGTCACTAAGTTTCACCAGCAGAGAGCAGTGTGTGTTTTTTTTTTTTTCATGCTTACCTTGTGTGGGTGATATAGTAATATGAGTGTTCTAAAAATAAAGATCTGTGAAAGCTCGACAGAGCCAAGATACATTTCACTGGGGGCCAGCTCAGAAATAGGACCCCCTCGAAAGGAGGGGGAAAGTTAGAGACTGAGAATTAATTTTAAACGACTCGTTTATAGCACTTTGAAAAAAATTTTAATTAGTTTTTAATTTTATAGTGCAGATGTTCTTGATATATTTAGCCATTTCTTTTTCATGACCTCTAAATCAGAAATATTGCTGATACTATCTTGGGACTTGAAAAAAGCTTTAAAATTTGCGATGGTTAGAAGAAATTGTAATGAAGTTGATAAATGCTAGTCTAATTCTTGAGTGATAAAAGAAGAAATCTACACCCTGATGGTATATAAATGTTTTTGAGTACACAGTAGCATCAAGAATGTTTTCATGTAACATTTCAAAGTTTCTGAGTCTTTACTAGTATAGAATCTACATTGCAGCTAAGTGTTATATTTTATAACAAGAAAGTTTAAGGTCTGAAAAGAATACAAGTTATCTTTATGTGAGATATACATTTAAACCACAGTTTAAGAAAAGTGAATTGGGGACTATAGGCTACTGATACAACTTTCCGAAGAAATGTATAAAATGTCCGTAAAAACATTTCTTATGGGGATTTCCATATTACAGAAAGAAAAGATCACTTGTCCAAATAAATTTTCAGCTAAAAAGTAAATTTATGTTAGTAGACTAAAATAAATGAAAAACAGGCCTTTTCAGTCTAATAGGGAGGCTGTTAAACTCCTAATTACGACATTGATGATACTGATCATAAGAAGCATGGGCAGAAAACTGGCTGGAGTCCATGCAAGCAAATGAAACCCTTCTTCCCCTTTGATCATTTCATTGTGAAAAATCTTACAATCTAAAAACTTACTGGGTCTACACTCAGTCGAACAAATATTGAGTGAATAGAGTAAATAAATGTAGGGGAAATAAAATAAGCTGACTTAGGATGTTAGGATAACCTTTCCTGTTTTTTTTGTTTTTGTTTTTTGAGCAGTTAACTCCTGTTGATGTTATTATTAACAATTTAACAAAAAGCAGTACTTGTGATCCCATGGATTGTAGTAAATGAAATCTTCCAAATCAGTTAAAATTAACCTTTGTCGTCTAGATTTTTGATTATTATGTTTTATTATTCTAATCACCTTTGTTTGGTTAGACTCTGGCCCTTTTTAAGGCGTTGAGTTTGTATGTAACCAGGCACAGTTTTCTGAGTTATAATGGTCTTCAGGCATTGTAGAATGTGTTTGTAGAGCTACTGTTTATAAGATGCTTTTCTTCTCTAGGTGGTAAGTAAAAGCCCATTGGAGGTTTGATAGTTGATTGTATTCATCAGCTGGTATTTGACATGTACTGAATCAGAATGTTAAACAGCAAAGCAGGTAGAGCACACGTTTTGCTATCAGAAGGACCTGATTTCAGATCCGCACCTTGGTACTTAGTGGCTGTGTTCCTGAGTAGATTCACTCATCTTCTTTTGTCCTTAATTTCCCTGTGTGTAAAATAAACATAATAATCACCCCTCCCCCGCCCCTGCCCCCCCAACCCAGAGCTATGCCAAAGAGTAAATGAGAGAATAGTGTAAAGTTCTTAGCATCCAGACTAGCATGTAGTAAATACTTAATAAGCGGTAGCTATGATAATAATAAAGTATCACAACTTTAATAGCCATGTATTGCTTACACTAAGCAAAAGTAAAGTTTTCCTACATATCATTGGACATTCACACACAAATACAGAGAGGCAGCCTGTTAGTACTTAGCATTAATAGATGCTCTGTTGCAGCCCCACAACCAAGTAGAATGAAATTGTTGTTTCACTGTAAAAATTCAGATTCTTTTTAAAAGATGAGTTCCATTCCCCAAAAGTGGCTCCAAGCCTCGTGTTGCATAACTACCCTGAGGAAATCCTGGAACTGATTTATTTATCTTAGTAGACTAGGAGAATTTGATTTCCTTCATATTTCTAGAAATGAGTGGGACATTTTCTCTTTGAGATAGTTTGAAGAAATGTGGCGTTGTTTCCTTGGAGTTAGAATGACATAGTTGTGCTCCTCTTTCCTAGTTTTCTTCTGTAGGTCTGCTGCCCTACTCGGGATCTTTGCCATTTATACTTGGCACTTTAAATAAATAAGCTTCAAATTCATTTTATGTAGTTTATTATTAATAATATGTCTCTCAAGTCCACATTTTAAAAAAAAATTATTATTTCATTTCTAGATCTTTTCCTGTTTACCAGGAATATTCCATAAAAAGCAATGAGGTAATATATGCACACATTTCTTGTGCAGGGATTGAAGCTCTGATTTGTATTAAAAAATAAAATTAGTTATAGTCTTTATATCCTCAATACCACAGAGTTAATGAAGCCAAAACCCATTTCCTCATAATATTTTCCCTTAAATGTCTCCTTTTTCCTTCTGCACCTCTCCAGCATTCTGGAATTTGGAACCATTTGAAATGCAAAGAGCAGTTACTTTTGATTTGTTCTCTCAGAGTTAAGTGGCTGCTTGATTTTGCTCCCACTTCTTTCGTTTGTTCGTCCCACTCATCTGACTTTGCCCTCTTTCTTTACTGTACTCACATACCCTGTTGTACTTGCACACTCTGAGCTTGAATACTCAGATACAGCTGGAACTGAAGGGGTTTTGTGGTTTGGGATTTGGAAATTAGCATAGAGCTCTGCTGGGAAGCTTTCACATTTTCTTGATCTGTGTCCCATTCTGCTTTTCCCTCTTCTGACATCCTCCACGGTGTTCAAGGTTTTGCCTTTGCTGTTTGTAGCCCCATAGTTGGCCTCTTTTTCTGTTTTGTTTTGTTTTTTTTCTTTTTTCTCTTTTCTTTTCTTTTTCTGTTTTGTTTTAAAATCTTCCTCTAAAAACGCTGTGTCTTTCCCACTTTGAGTAAGGTATTCATACCTAAAAATCCTGTCATTCATATTACTCAGAGTATACTTTTGGAAATGGGCAGGTTGTGAGGGTGTAGGGAGTTGGGAAAGGCTTGGCCAGGGCATGGAGGTGTACTGGTTAGAAGAAACTCTGCAAAAGGGCATTGCCGTGACCCTTCTCCAGAATTTTCTAGCAGAATAAAAGCTCTGTCGCAGTTGATTGAAACCCTGTTTTGAACTCATACTTCAAAGTGCAAACTTTCATAGGCCAACAGTTTTTTGGACTTGTGAGCCACATCTAGCTATTTTCTTAATCTAGCTTTATTACATCCTAAGAATACATACCAAAGGCCACAGGAAAAGGACGAATAATGATTAATAGTTAACCAGAATGGAAGAAGGAGGCCACTTATGCGTATTTAGCAATGGTTTTAAGGTACATACAAGTATTTTTCTTATACCACTGTTCACGCAATAACTTTGAAAAATTATTTTTCAAATATCAGAGTGCAAAGTTTTATCCTTAAAAATGTTATAAATTACTTTTGACCCTAATTCTAAATATAAATGTTATTAATGTGCATGCTCCGTCCGTCAGTCTTTGGGACCCCATGGACTGAAGCCCACCAGGCCCTCCCTGTCCATCGGATTTCCCAGACAAGAATACTGGAGCAAGTTGCCATCTCCTCCCCAAGGAATCTTGCCAACCCAGGAATCAAACTGATGCCTCCTGTATTGGCTGGCAGACTTTTTACCACTGTGCCACCTGGGAAGCCTAAATATTATTAACTGTAGTCCAGAATAAAGATTTCAAAACTGGAAAGGTTTAACCTGAATTTTTAATTGATAGGAGGAAAATACATGAATTGCAAGTATATTCCTTACCATGTTAACATCTTAAAATACATACCATCTTTTAAGAAAGCATACCCTCTCCCTGCCCCATTCTCCTACCTTAAACCACTATATATATGTAGAACGGTCCAAATAATGGATTAAGTCGAAAGATACATGTGAAATTTGCATATATATAAAAAAATACATGGAGCTCCACGGCATTCACAGTAATTATAATCCAAAACATGGAACAATCCTGCACTAACTGGGTCACAGAAAATCCTCTGAAGCTTCCTTACTCACACTGATGCGCTTGTATCTAAAATGCACAGTGTTACATTTTTGAAACTATAGGTGATAAAGCTATGGCATAATTTTAAAACAAAGTGCTTATTTTTAAGTCCAGGTGTTGAAAGAGGTTTCTTATTTCATCAGAGTCTCAGGGATCCTCTAGGTTCTGTTTTACCACTACAAAGCTCTCCAGGCTAAATGAATATAAAAATATTTGAAGAGTTGATTGACTTCAAACATTTTAAATTTCTTGTAGTTACTTTTTAAAAGATAAATTTTTATCTATCTTTCATTTTTGTTCTTTTTGTTGATAATTTTTTTAATGAATTCAAAAAATAAAATGTGGCAAAAAATTAGACTAATATATTACAGTTTATTTCATGATGAATTTGAAGATAGGCAGACTAAAGATTGCTCTTTACATTTTGGTTTAGGATATTTTTGACAGTGATTGGTATACCTCTCGAAATCTAATTGGAGGGGCGGACATCATCGTGATCAAATACAATGTAAACGACAAGTTTTCATTCCATGAAGTGAAGGATAATTATATTCCAGTGATAAAAAGAGCATTAAATTCAGTTCCAGTGATCATTGCTGCTGTCGGTACAAGACAAAATGGTAAGTAGTTTTCTTTTACATGAGAGTGCAGGTACCATGATAGTTTTGAAAAGCATTAAGTTTATTGACGATTGGTAATTTTTTTTTTTTGAAAGCAAGATGATTGGGTTCAAATTGCCAGCTGTCATCTCTTCATCATTGGCTATGATTATGAGACGTCAAACATAAGTATCACAAACTACTGTGATTCTCATGGGTACAAGGTTTTCTTTTAAACTGTTCTTCTACAGAAGTGAAGTATCAGTATCAGTTCAGTCGCTCAGTCCTGTCCGACTCTGTGACCCCATGGACTGCACCACACCAGGCCTCCCTGTCCATCAGCAACTCCTGAAGTTTACTCAAACTCATGTCCATCGAGTTGGTGATACCATCCAACCATCTCATCCTCTGTCGTCCCCTTCTCCTCCTGCCCCCAATCCCTCCCAGCATCAGGGTCTTTTCCAATGAGTCAGTTCTTTGCATCAGGTGGCCAAAGTATTGGAGTTTCAGCTTCAGCATCAGTCCTTCCAGTGATTATTCAGGACTGATTTCCTTTAGGATGCACTGGTTGGCTCTCCTTGCAGTCCAAGGGACCCTCAAGAGTCTTTTTCAACACCACAGTTCAAAAGCATCAATTCTTCTGCACTCAGCTTTCTTTATAGTCCAACTCTCACCACGATACATGACTACTGGAAAAACCATAGCCTTGACTAGACAGACCTTTGTTGGCAAAGTAATGTCTCTGCTTTTTAATATGCTGTCTAGGCTGGTCATAGCTTTTCTTCCAAGGACCAAGCGTCTTTTAATTTCATGGCTGCAGTCACCATCTACAGTGACTTTGGAGCCCCCCAAAATAAAGACAGTAACTGTTTCCCCTGTTTCCCCGTCTACTTACTGTGAAGTGATGGGACCAGATGACATGATCTTAGTTTTCTGAAGTGAAGGAAGTCAGTCATTGTGTTCTTTTTGATATGGGAGAGTTATTGGGCTGATGCTGAGCCCTGGAAAACTGTTTTTGACAATCTAAGGGACTATCAGTTGGGAAAGATAAATTGTCCCCATAAGGATGTGGGGTTGAGAGCTGAGTTCTTAGGTAGGTACGCAGTGAATGAGCTGAATGCATTGACATCCCCACCTTGAGAATATCGTTGACTCCACAGCTTTTGGGTTGTTTTAGTTCAGTCAGTTTCAGTAGTTGCTGCTCTGCATACTGTTGTCAGATTATCTCAGGGTCAACTCAGAATTCTCTTTGAATTGATGGTGTTTTCTAGTTCGTAAGGATTATTTCCTCAGTAAAACTGTCTTTAAAATTATTTTTTTTCGTCTTTTCCTTCCTTTTTATTGAAGTATAGCAAAATAAAGGACATTAGACTTCACTAATTTTAGAACACAGTTGAATGCATTTTTACATGTGTGTGCCTCTATGCAGCCATCTCCTACAGATCAAGATACATAGAACTTCTCATTCCAGAAGCCTCTCGTGCCCCTACCCACTTAATAACACCCCTCCCCAGAGGTAGCTGCTATTCTGACTTCTAACATCATAAGTTAGTTTTACCTGTTCCTGACCCTCATAGAAATGGAATTATACAATATGCAGTGTCTTGTGTTTGACTGATTTCAGTTAGTGTGTGATACTTTTGAGATTCATGCATGCAAAACTTATCTGTAATTTGTTCCTTTTATTGCTGTGTATTGTCCCATTGTATGAGTACACCAGGGCTTATCTCTGCATTCTTTTGATGATGCTTAGGTAGATTTCTAGCAGGATTTTGGGGTCACACGGTAGATGTTTGTTTAGCATTAGTAGATGTGAATAAAGCAGGCTTGACCCTTCTTTGACCCCATGTTCCCTCTACTTCCCTAACTTTCTTTTTATTGCTGGTCACGGTTCTTAAACGAGTCATCCACACTTCCTGAGTCTGCTTCCTGACTTCCCATTCATTCTTGAGTCCACTATAGTCTGACTTGACTTTTGCAATGACTGCTGGGTTTGTTTTCACTCAGGGCTGCCAATTCTATGCCTGTCGCCCAATTTAATTGGTGTTTTAATAACAATCTTCCCTTTGAAGTTATTCAAACACACCTCTCTCTCCACTCAGCAAAAGCTCCTTTTTCTTTTCCTGGTTGTTGTAATTCTCTGTCTTATTTCCTGGCTCCCTGAGCCTCCCTCACACACGTGCACCAAACCCTGTGGCTGTTGCCCAGGGTCCCATCCTTTTTCTTCACCTCTTCTTGCTGTTTCCTCTGACCTGAACCTGCTAATCTGTTGTCCTCACTTCCCCTGCAGCGACACGGTGATTACCCAGTCTCTTTCTCTGGCTGCAGTCTCTCTCCTGACCCATGTCTCCACAAATACCTTCCTCTTTCTACTGAGTTCCCCAATCTTTTTTTTTAATTTATTTTTTTAATTGAAGGATAATTGCTTTACAGAATTTTTCTGTTCCCTGTCAAACCTCAGCATGAATCAGCCATAGGGATACATATAGCCCCTCCCTTTTGACCCTCCCTCCCATCTCCCTCCCCACCCCAGCCTCTAGGTTGATACAGAGTCTCTGTTTGAGTTTCCTTGAGCCATACAGCAACTTCTGCTTGGCTGTCTGTTTTACACCTGGTGAAGTAAGTTTCCATGTTACTCTTTCCATACATCTCACCCTCTCCTCCCCTCTCCCCAGGTCCATAAATCTATCCTCTATGTCTGCTTCTCCATTGTTGCCCTGTAGGTAAATTCTTCAGTACCATTTTTCTAGATTCCATATAAATGTGTTAGAATACGGTATTTATCTTTCTCTTTCTGACTCACTTCACTCCGTATAATAGGTTCCAGGTTCATCCACCTCATCAGAACTGACTCAGATGTGTTCCTTTCTATGGCTGAGTAATATTCCATTGTGTATATATACCACAACTTCTTTATCCATTCATCTGTCAGTGGACATCTAGGTTGCTTCCATGTTCTAACTATTGTAAATAGTGCTGCAGTGAACAAAGGGATACATGTGTGTTTTTCAATTTTGGTTTCCTCAGGGTATATACCTAGGATTGGGATTGCTGGGTCATATGGTGGTTTTATTCCTAGTTTTTTAAGTAATCTGCCTACCATCTTCCATAGTGGCTGTATCAATTTACATTCCCACCAACAGTGCAAGAGCATTCCCTTTTATCCACACCCTTTCCAGCATTTATTGTTCGTAGACTTTTTGTTGGTGGCAGTTCTGACCAGTGTGAGGTGATACCTCATTGTAGTTGTGATTTGCATTTCTCTAATAATGAGTGATGTTGAGCATCTTTTCATGTGTTTATTAGCCATCTGTATGTCTTCTTTGGAGAAATTTCTGTTTAGGTCTTTTCCCCACGTTTTGATTGGATTGTTTGTTTTTCTGGCATTGAGTTGTATAAGCTGCTTGTATATTTTGGAAATTAATCCTTTGTCAGTTGTTTTATTTGCTATTATTTTCCCCCATTCTGGGGATTGTCTTTTCACCTTGCTTATAGTGTCATTTGTTGTGCAAAAGATTTTAGGTTAAATCAGGTCCCACTTGTTTACTTTTGTTTTTATTTCCGCTACTCTAGGAGGTGAGTCATAGAGGATCTTGCTTTGATTTATGTCATCAAGTGTTCTGCCTATGTTTTCCTCTGAGAGTTTTATAGTTTCTGATCTTACATTTAGGTCTTTGATCCATTTTGAGTTTATCTTTGTGTTAAGATAAGTGTTAAGAAGTGTTCTAATTTCATTCTGAGTTCCCCAGTCTTGATAAATGATGCCAAACCTATCTGTTCACCCACACTAGAATCATCCAAGCAGTCTTTCTTTCCTGTTCTGCACATCCAGTTGACTCGGAAGCTCTTTTGATTTATATTTTAAATAAACCTCAAACTCATCATCTTTACTGAATTTCAGATCCTAGTGATGTAATTATCTGTCAGAGTGACTTTCTTTTTGGGCTAGACGGGCGGTTCCAAATTTTGTAGGATTTGAGATCTGTATGATTTTGTAGAGGTTCTTTGTAAGAAAGAAAAAACAACAAAATAGCAGACATACATGTATACAAATGAATCGTTACTTAGAATGTGAAAAGAAAGCAAAATAAATTACAACTCCAAAAGAACTATCAAATACCCCAGACATTAAAAAAAAAAATTTGTTTAAAAACCTGACACTTCTCCAACTTTTCTTATATTTTTTTGGCTGCAGATTCTTTGATCAAGTCTTCACATGACGGCCACTTTCTGAGATTTTCTGTAGAGCAAAAAGAATGATAATTGGGCTTTTTTTTGGTGTTGGCACCACGGTTTGTGTTGTGTTTGTTTCTCAGCTCTGCCTCTTTGTGTCCTGATGCTGGACTAGTCTGCACTGGGGGTGGAAGAAGCATTCCTGGAGGCTGTTCACGTACCGAGACAGCTCGCAAACACTTACAAGGAAGTGACTACAGACTGCAAATAGTATCTCACTAAACCTAAATTTAAATTCCTCTTTAACGGCATCCTAAAAATGTCCACAGCTATTCCAAAACTGCCTGATGCAAGGTGAAGTGAGTTGGATTGCAAAGAGGCTGGTGTCTTCACCAGGCATAGTCAGACTGTCTCATTTTGCATATTTTACAAAAGTGTATGTCATGTGAAAGAACCCAAGGCCCAGGTTTCTTCCATGACTTTGGAAACAAGCCATAAGGAAGGGCTTTGAAGCTTAGGCTTGCTGGTAAATCAGCCTCTGGTCAATTTTTCCTGCTTGGCTTTTTTCTGAAATAGATTCTCTCAGACTAACCATCCTAGAATATGTCAGATCATAATACTGTTTCAATCTTGTAGAAACTTTCATCCTTTTTTTTTTTCTATTTGCAAAATTTCAAACCTAAGAACTTGACAAGAATAGGACAGTAAGCTCCAGAAATTATAAACATACACTTTTTTTGTTTGTTTGAACCATTTGATGGTAAATTGTAAACATTATGGAATTTCTTCAATCCTGATTAATTAAGGATGTCTCATCTAAGAACAGAACCATTTTCCTATTAAGCATAGTACAATCATCACTCAAGAAACATGCTATTACTTGTTTACGTTATTATTTAAAGTATAACCCATATATATTCACATTTTTCCATGTATTCTAAAGCTCTTTTTCTATTTTTAAAAATTCAGTGTGAAATTAAGGACTGTGTGTTGCATTTAGTTCTCATGTCTCCCTGGTCTCTTAATTCAGAACAGTTCCCAGTTTCCTAGCTGTTTTTCTTTTGGAGGGGGGCGGGAGGGGTAGCTTTCATGACACTGACATTATTAATAAGAATCTAAACCCATTATTTTGCAGGATCCCTTCAGTTGTGATCACTGGGGTTGCAAAATAGTGATTTCCTATCATTCCTTCTTCATTTATTAGTTGGCACGCTACTGTAAGTAGAGTGGGGCTTCCCTTGTGGCTCAGCTGGTAAAAAAATATCTGCCTGCAATGTGGGAGACCTGGGTCAATCCCTGGGTTGGGAAGATCCCCTGGAGAAGGGAAAGGCTACCCATTCCAGTATTCTGGCCTGGAGAATTCCATGGACTGTATAGTCCATGCGGTTGCAAAGAGTCGAACACGAGTGAGTGGCTTTCACTATCACTATCACTACTGTGAGTAGAGCTCTCCCTTTTCTCTGCTTCTGCATCTTTCTTTGAAATCATTGTGAAAACTTCATGGGTTGGTTATTTAAATTCAATGTTTGAGACTCTGTTCTTCTCATTATGCTTTCTGATACTCTGGGTACCCCACATTTTCATCTTCATGCTCGCTGTGGTTTATTCTTGGGTCCTTCCTCCTTCTGGTATAGAAGGATGTGCAGGCTCATCTTGGACCTGACCTGCCCCAGGCCACTCGGGTGCCCTTGGGGTGCTCCTCACCCAGCTTCGTGAAGCAGTGAACACTTCCATGTTGCTGCAGGGTGTGAGGCGCCCCCTCTCCTCGGAGCCTCCAGGTTCCTCTTGGGTCCTGTGATCACTACCTGCATCCTCTCAGGGACCCCTAGTTTATGGTCCTATGAGAGTCTCTCCTCTAATTTTTCAGTGTTTCCATAGATTCACCTCCTTTCTTCTCTTTTCTCCCTGCCCCCCTTCTTCCCTTCCATCCCACTCCTTATTTCATGATTTCTGTGGTTTGGCAGGAAGAAGAGGTTGCAGTGTGGTCTTAGCTTGTCCTCTTGAAAGTGGAAGTGACGGGTTCCTTTTCTCACATTCAGGCCTCCTCTTGCACCGTGTTGTACCCCATAGACTATCCCTCTGCACAGCCCCAGTCTTGTCCGCATGCTGAATTTGTCCTTCCCCTGGAAATCGTTCCCTCTTCTTCGAGCCCCTCCCCCCCTCCCCCCCAGTCCTCCAGGCAGAGTTAATTTCTCCTCTGTTCCTATGGTGACTCCATACCCCTTTATTTCAGTACTTATTATAATGGTCCACAGTTGTGTCTGCCTGGGCTCGGTTGACAATGAGTTTCAGTTATCTGTGTATCTTTATAACCCTGCTATTTGAGGTGTGGTGGCTGTTCAAAAAGCGTTTGTTCAACACATGAATGAACGGCTTTATGAATGATATATACAGACGTGAAAAATCATTTTCACTAACAGGGTGAAATTAATTTACCATGTGAGATGTGATCGCAAGGTAATTACAAAGCTAAATCTGGCTCTTCAGCTCAAGGACACAGATTGTTCCTCCTTCCTGGAATATTTCTCCCTCCTGGAATCCCTTGCAGTCCAGTGAAACTGTGCTGGGTGTTCTGTAACTCCTCTCTCCAGCTGCTTTAAGAACAAGTTCAGCAAGCACAGTCAGTCTCATCTCTTTGCTTTGTTATACGTGTTTTGACAAGCTTGACTGTGTGTGTGTCTTGTCGTACTTGGCTCTGAATAAATTTTTGGCTTTCATTAAATATTGAATTTGTCTTTAGAAAATTTTTTTCCAAACTTGGCAAAGGTGTATTCATAGCCTTAAGCTCCTGAAAGCAGGCATCCTGTCTTGTCTTTTTGAAGCTCTGACAGAGCCTAATACATTGCGAGGCTGGAATACCTAAAAGGATGTCTAATGCTCTCAAGCACTGACAACATGGTAAGCATCATCCTGCTGCTGCTGCTAAGTCGCATCCAACTCTGTGCGACCCCATAGATGGCAGCCCAACAGGCTCCTCTGTCCCTGGGATTCTCCAGGCAAGAATACTGGAGTGGGTTGCCATTTCCTTCTCCAGTGCATGAAAGTGAAAAGTGAACGTGAAGTCGCTCAGTCATGTCCAACTCTTAGCAACCCCATGGACTGCAGCCTACCAGGCTCCTCCGTCCATGGGATTTTCCAGGCGAGAGTACTGGAGTGGGCTGCCATTGCCTTCTCCAAGCATCCCTATCGGTTCTCAAAGTGACTCTTTTGAAAGAGATGCCATTCATCTTAATTTCAGAGTTACATTGTGTTTACTTTGAAAAAAAATTAGACATTTTGTGATAATACCTTGAAAGATAATATATAAGGGGAGAAAAAAGACTACAGCGTTAACTGGAAATGTAACACAGATTCCCAGAGTTCTAGGACTCTTGAGGAAGGCTCAGTAGGAGTGAGTCCTGAAGAAGGCACTGAAATTTAAAATTATTTGGGGTCTCCTGATTGTTGCTAATGAAATACTAAATGTTGGTTTATTTAATTCATAAACATTCTGTGGATTCTCCTACCTAATATGTAATGGTTAGACATTTTTTCCTTTTGGGTGCAAGTGAACAAAAAGCAATGTCTTCCCTGGCATAGAGGAGATGTAATGATTGGACATAAGGATACACTTTCTAGGTTGGTAAGATGCTTGTGGCTACACATGATGGAAAACCCCGCTCAGCTGGGTTAGACCTGACACTAGCTGGATTTTTCCCTCAAACCAAGATTGTTTCCTCGCAATTATTTTGCATTCTGCTTGCTAATTTTTCACTCAAAATGGTACTGATTTTATTTTTGTCCCAAAATAATGTTTAATAAGATGATCTGCCTACCCACCCCATTCCATCAACATAAGGAGAGCTTTGTAGACATGAGAAGATCTCTGTCTTCAGAGTCAAAGGCCCTGTTTATGATGGCTTTGTAAAGAATGTGAAATGCCAGTGTGTTCTTTTTCAAGATAGGCTAACTTGTGTATGATAACTTTATTTGCTCTGAAGCTAATATGATCTTAGAAAAAAAATAAATGCAAAAACTCAGACTAGACTTATTATTTATTGCATAGTTTAGCGAAACCAAGCTTCATTTTTAAATCACGGCATTTTTATGCAAACTAAATTTTTATCTTATCTTTTGATGGCTCTTTATCAGGTGTAGCAAGTAACAGTTTTATTATTGTTTCTTTATCTCTAAGACCCAAGGAGGCTTAGACATGTCACAACCTCTCTGAGCTTCAGTTTCCTCCTCTGCAAAATAAGGATGTGAATGCATGGTTTCTGAGCTCAGAATGCTTTCAGTGAATTGAAACTATCTAATTCTTAGGTGTATGTGTGCACATGGGTATTACATATGCACATGGCACTGAATATGCTTGGTATGCATGCCATGTGTTCATATCGATGCTCCATCTCTGCGCGTTTCATCAGTAGGACTTTTGTTGTGTATGCTGTGGGGATGGGGGAGCAGCCTAAATGCCCTGACAGGGCCACTGTACTTTGAGTTACCAGGTCTTTTGGCCCCTGGGGGTCACAGCTGAGTCCCTTTCCAGGCATTACCCTCTGCTGATACAAGCTGCTTGCCCGAGGTTTTGCTTCCTCCACAGGGCAGCCCTCCTCTACTTACTGGCTGATTTAGGGGTACAGAAACCCAAGTTTGTGTGGGGAACCCCTCTCAAGGGCCATCTAAGCTCCAGAGTCTCCTGTCCGGGAACTGGAGTGTCTGTTGCAACAGCATTACAGTTCGAGTTCTTTCTCTGTGGAGCGCAGCTTCCTGCACCCCTGAGAAGATCTGTTTCCAAGATCACCCCCCAGAAAGCCTCTTCCTCACAGACTGTCTCCATGCCAGAGTCTGTTTCTTGGGGAAGTCAACCTACAACAACGTGATTTCCTGGAAATGGGCTTGGCTGCTTTTTGAACAATGACATATCTGAAGTGTAGCGTGAAACAGAGCAAAGCTGGCTGGCAAATATGGAGTTGAACATACACGTTTAGCCCTATTAAGGCAGGGTCTTACAGACAGGTTGGTTTACCACCTTCCCAGCCATAGGTCTGTCTGTGATTCTTGGGGCAGTTCACATTGTGAGTAATTACTTTTTATGCTTTCAGTTTTTACTTTTATGATCTTGGAGCAAAAGATGAAAAGTGATTGAATTTGGTCACTGCAGTTGAATACTGTAGAGTTCAGTCATTGAAATGTCTGGATTAATAGGAATGTACTTCATATGAAATTTGCAATGACTGACAATTTTTCAGCTTTGGAGATTGAGGTCAAATTGAGGATTCTGTTAAAGTAAAAGATGCATTCAAACTTAGTTAATATATTAAAAGTTTCTTACAACAACAACAAAAAATGCCAGCCCATTGTTTTTGTGGTTGAAATTGTGTAAAAGGAAGCAGGCCTGGCATTTTAGTTACTATAATAGCCTTGGTAGTATTCATTCACTTATTAAAAATTCATCTATTTTATTAGATCTTATTCGTTGTTCTTCCATTTAAAGCTTATTTATTTTAGGGAACTTTGCTATTATCATTGACACTTCTCATTCAGAGTCTAGTGGATAGTGGCTATATGAAGTGGTCCCGAACTGTGATTCTGGTGTGAGCTCTTAATGTGTTGTTTAATGTCCAGGTTGTCTGTGCACATTTTTGTGTGTGTGTTTAATTCCAAAACCCCGTGTGCGTCATGTTCGTTTTCTCAGAAGAATTACCCTGCACATGCCCCCTGTGCACCTCGGACAGAGGGAGCTGCGTCAGTACGACGGAAGGGATCCAACTCGCTAAAGAGCTGGGGGCCACCTACCTGGAGCTGCACAGCCTCGACGACTTCTACATAGGAAAGTACTTTGGAGGAGTGGTAAGTGGAAGTCCCAGTCTCAGAAATCAGTCATCTGTCAGGTTGGCTCTTCAGCTGTTTCTTAGAACCACAATTAGAACTTTAGTTTTAAAATCAAGGATAGTTTTTATCTTGTGAAATGGTGGTGGTGGTTGTCCCTGCTTCCACTTTCCCGCCTTCTGTTTGCCGGGAAGTGGAAACAGTGACAGACTTTATTTTCTTGGGCTCCAAAATCACTGTGGACAGGGACTACAGCCACGAAATTCAAAGATGCTTGGTTCTTGGGTGGACTTCCTTGATAGCTCAGCTGGTAAAGAAGCTGCCTGCAATGTAGGAGACCCCAGTTCAATTCCTGGGTTGGGAAGACCCACTGGAGAAGGGAAAGGCTACCCCCTCCAGTATTCTGGCCTGGAGAATTCCATGGATTATAGTCCATGGGGTTGCAAAGAGTCGGATGTGACTGAACAATTTTCACTTCATTTGGTTATTATATATGACAAACCTAGACAGTTTATTAAAAAATGGAGACATCACTTTGTCAACAGAGGTCTGTATATTCAAAGCTGTGGCTTTTGCAGTAGTCATGTATGGATGTGAGAGTTGGACCAAAAGAAGGCAGAGCGCTGAAGAATTGGTGCTTTCAAACTCTGGTGCTGGAGAAAACTCTTGAGAGTCCCTTGAACTGCAAGGCAATCAAATGAATCAATCCTGAAGGAAATCAACTCTGAAAAATTCATTGGAAGGACTGGTGCTGAAGCTCCACCCCTTTGGCCACCTGATGCCAAGAGCCAACTCATAGGAGAAGACCCTAATGCTGGAAAAGGTTGAAGGCAAGAGGAGAAGGGGGGTGGCAGAGGATGAGATGGTTGGATAGCATCACTGACTTAATGGACATGTGCTTGATCAAACTCTGGGGGATAGTGGAGGACAGGGGAGCCTGGTGTGCTGCCGTCCATGGGTTTGCAAAGAGTCAGACATGACTGAGCGCTTGAACTGAACTGAAAGGGAAAAGGATAGTTTGGGTTTTTTTGTTGGAGAAGATGGAGCGCTTGGCGTCTTTGGGCTCATGGTTCCCTTTCCAGGTTCCTGACCCTGAGGTTCTCAGGATCACTCTTCCCATTTCCCAGCTCCCACATTCTCTTCTTTTCCCTCATTGTTTCTCTGTGTTCCTAACACCTAGTGTTGGAGGCATGATGACAATCAAAGAAGTGGTCAGAGTCCGGAGAAAAGCTTTGTGGTTTCCTTTTGCCTTAACTCAAGACTCAATGAGAATATGAAAATAAGATCAGAATGGTCTCCTTTAGACCCTTGAATAGTAAAATATAACGGGGACCTTGAGTGTAAGAAACAGTGGTATTTGCAAGATTATGGATGAAGTGTTAATGTCAGAGTGAAAGGTGCATTTCACTATTAATATCTTGTGTTTAGCAGTCAGGGAGGAAGAGCAGTGCAGTGTTACCCTCAGACCTGGCCAAGGGCAGCCTGTGCCCTTGAGCTCTGGAAAGCCTCCTTTGGTTGCACCCCTCCCCACAGGGCATGGGGAGGTGCCCACTGCAGCTCGTAGCTCCCCTCCTGACCTGCACCATCCGTGTGGTAGCCACTAGCCACATGTGGCTATTTATATTTAAATTAATTTAGAAATAATGCAGGAGACTTCCGGTTCAAGATGGCAGAGTAGAAGGACAAGCTGTCAACTCCTCTCATGAGAGCACTAGCTGCTGAACAACCGTCGACAGGTGGATGCTGGAACCTACCAGAAAGCGATGCCTACGTCCAGAGACGAAGAAGGAGCTGCAGCAAGATGGTAGGAGGGGCACACCCACCATGAAGTCAAATCCCATACCCGCTGGGTGCGTGACCCACAAACCGGAGAACAGTTAATGCCAAAGAAGTTCTCCAACTGTTGTGAAGGTTTGGAACCCTGTGTTGGGCTTCTCAGCCTACGGACCTGCCAAAGGGACTGGGGATCCCCAGGGAATCTGACCCTGAAGCCCAGTGGGATTGGATTACAAGGCTTCCACAGGGCTGGGGGAGATGGAGACTCCAGACTTGGAGGGCACAAACTAAACCTTGCACGCACCAATCAAGACTCAGAGGAGAGGAGCAGTGACTCCACAGGAAACTAAACCAAAATGACCTGCTAGTGTTGGAGGGTCTCCTGTGGAGGCGTGGGCCAGCAGGGGCTCATCACGGGGACGGGGGACTGGCAGCAGCTGTCTGGGAAGGCCCCCTTTGGTGTAAACACCCTTGGAGGTCACCATTAACCAGACCATGAGGTCAGTAGACCAGCCTGTAGGGCTGGGTTAGAAAGTGAAGTCGCTCAGTTGTGTCCGACTCTTTGCGACCCCATGGACTGTAGCCTACCAAGCTCCTCGGTCCATGGGATTTTCCAGGCAAGAATACTGGAGTGGGTTGCCATTTCCTTCTCCAGGAGATCTTCCTGACCCAGGGATTTAACCTGGGTATCCCGCATTGTAGGCAGATGCTTTACCACCTGAGCCACCAAGGAAGTCAGGGCTGGGTTGCCTCAGACCAAAAAACTACCAGGGAGGGAGCACCCATCAGCAGATAATTGGATTAAAGCTTTTACTGAGCAAGGTCCTGCCCACCAGAGCAAGACCCAGTTTTTCCCACCACCAGTCCCTCCCATCAGAAAGCTTACACAAGCCTCATAGCCTCCTCCATCAAAAAGGGCAGACAGAAGAAGCAAGAAGAACCACAATCTCCCGTCGACTAATACAAAGCCACATTACAAAAGTTAATCAGCATGAAAAAGCAGAAAGTTATGTCCCAGATGAAGGGACAAAGTAAAACCCCAGAAAAACGACTAAATGAGGTAGAGATAGGCAACCGTCCAGAAAAAGAATTCAGAATAAAGACAGTGAATTTGATTCAAGATCTTGGAAAAGGAATGGAGGCAGAGATTGAGAAAATGCAAGAGATGTTTACCAAAGACCTATAAGAACTAAAGAACAAACAGAGATGAATAATACTCTAGAAGGAATCCAGAGCAGAATAACAGGCAGAGCACAGATAAATTACCTGGAGGGCAGAATGGTGGAAATCACTGCCACAGAACAGAATATAGAAAAAAGAATGAAAGGAAATAAAGACAGTCTTAGACCTCTGGGATAACATTAAACACACCAGTATTCACATTGTAGGGGTCCCAGAAGGAGAAGAGAGAGAGGACCTGAGAAAACATTTGAAGAGATAATAACTGAAAACTTCCCTAACATGGGAAAGAAAATAGTCAGCCAAGTCCAGGAACCACAGTGTGCCCGAAACAGGATGAACCCAGGGAAGAACACACTTGAGACATAGTAATCAAACTGACAAAAGTTAAAGATAAAAATTAAAAGCAACCAGGGAAGAATGACAAATAACATGCAACGGAACTCCCATCAGGCTATCAGCTGATTTCTCAACAGAAACTGCAAGCCAGAAGGGAATGGCATGACATATTTAAAGTGATGAGAGGGAAGAACCTACAACCAAAAATACTCTACCCAGCAAGACTGTCCTTCAGATTTGGTGGAGAAATCAAAAGCTGTCCAGACAAGCAAAAGTTAAAAGAATTCAGCACCGCCAAACCACCTTTACAGCAATTGCCAAGGGAACTTCTCTAAGCAGAAAACGAGAGAGGAAAAAGCCTGGTGTTCTGCTGAGGCGCTCAGTCATGTCCGACTCTTTGCAACCCTGTGGACTGTGGCCCACCAGGCTCCTCTGTCCATGGGGATTCTCCAGGCCAGAATACCGGAGTGGGTTGCCATGCCCTCCTGCAGGGAATCTTCCCAACCCAAGGATCAAACCCAGGTCTCCTGAGTTGCAGCCGGATTCTTAACTATCTGAGCCACGAGGGAAGCCCAGGAAAATCCTTACCTATAGAAAATAAATCCAGAACAAAGCAGTAATAGAGTCATAAATATTAATAATTAGCTTAAATGTAAATGGATTAAATGCATCAACCAAAAGACATAGAGCAGCTGAGCAGATGAAAACACATGCATGTATGCACCCACTTAACCACATCACTCTCCTTGACCCCCCCAGGTTGTATGTAATTATTTGATATTGATAGTCTAATGTTCCTCATGGCGTGCAATTGTAATTGTCTTCTATTCTTTGTCTGGTTATTGATTGTGAAAACTGATAAACCAATTTTACTGTTGTGATTGTGTAACTATTACTACATAGTTAACATAGAACACTGCATTCTGTGCTGTGACCATGCTCCAAAACCCAGCATCCCGAGTCCTCTGACCAGCTGGCACTGAGTCTGTTTGCCCAATCTGTTCCAGTCTCTTCCCTGGCTCCATCTACCTGAAGGTGGTTCACATGTCTGATAATGCATACCCCGGGGCCTGAGAGTTGACCGAGGTGTGGCTGGATATGAGTAGGGGAGGGGAGAGTGGCTGGACCTCGGTTGTGTAGGTGTGGATGTCTGCCTGCCTGTACCAGCGCCCGCAGGTAGGGGAGTGTGAGGTGGGCAGGCGGAGAGAAGAAGGGTGGTCTTGGGTCCCAGGAGTTAGGGGCCAGCTCTCTCTGCTGCAGGTAACTCTGAGGAGTCTCAGAATTTAAATCTGAACCAGGCCTTCCAGTTTAAATGATGACATATTTTGCAAAGCAGGAGGATAGAATATATTTTATGTAGCAGTTTATTTTCTTGATTTGCAACATTTAAATATTTAGGTAGGTGGCATATGGACCTCCTTTCGTACTTCTGCCCCAGGCGTCACATGCCCAGAGCTGTGTAAGTGCGTGTGGTTAAGATTTTTAATTTATGAAATGATGGCTGCATTTCAAAGTAATTTGTTCAGGAAAAAAAAGTAGAGCACATGTGAACTTTCCAAATTGTTGTGAGCATATGTGATGCAAAGTTAGAGACCTGCTCTTGGTTTGAATTTTTCTAGTGTTAGTTGTTATAGTTGCCCGTGAGGTGGTTATTGACAGTCACATGGATGTACTGCTTGGCATTTTTGATTATTCAAGAGAAAGTACAGTTTTTTCCTTGAATGGTAGTTTATGTTTAGACAAGACACAGACTGTTCTACCTGATAGATTTTTTTAAAAAATAAAAAAAAATAAAAATAAAAAAAATTGAAAAGCACTGGCTAAGGCACACATGTAGATGGTACTGGCAGCTGTGATTTGGGGTCCAAATAATCATGTCAGATACATAATTTTGTCAGAGCTTTAATTAACATTTGATTCTTGTTTTAGTTGGAATATTTCATGATCCAAGCCTTAAATCAGAAGACAAGTGAAAAAATGAAGAGAAGGAAGATGAGCAACTCGTTTCATGGAATTAGACCACCTCAGCTTGAACAGCCAGGTGCATTTATTAGCCCATGTCTGAACATTCCACTGATATTTATTGTAGATCATTTCAAAAGCCTGGGGGCAATTGTTCTCACATTTGAGTGTGTTCAGGACTCACCTGGCATTCTGATTCAGTGAATCTGGGATGGAGTCTGAATCTGATTTTTAAATAAGCCTCCCAGATGATTCTGAAGCAGGTGGTACCTGGATCACATTTTGAGGACTATTGTCTTGAAAACTTGAACCTACAGATTCTTATAAGAATGGTGTGTGTGGTAGCGTGCTGCTCTAAATTACAGGCTAGTGAGAAATAACCAGATATGATGCATGCACCTTGCGTGGATACGGGCTCCATAAAAACATCTAAAAGATGTTCTTGGGACAATTGGGTAAAATTTCATTATGGATGGGAAATTAGATGATACTATGGGATTACTGTTGATTTTCTTACATATGATAATAGTATTGTGTTTAGTAGAAGAAAGTCCTTATTCTTAGGAGATAAATATGAGTTATGAGTAAACATGAAAGTATTTAGAACTAAAGTATCCTGATGATTACAACTTACTTTTAAATGGTTTGTGAGTGAAGGAGAAAGGGAGAGAGAAAATTTAGAGATAAGACCAAGAAGGAAAGTGTTAATAATTAGAGAATTTAAGGGCAAGATATATGTGTGCTCATTGTATCATTCTTTGAACTTTGTAGCTGTTTGAAAATGTTCATGATATAGGGTTAGAAGAAAAAAATTAAAAATAAATTATATCAACTTATCAGAATTTATTGGATAATTTTGTAATAGCAGTGGTAAAATAGTACTCTGTTCAGATCAAGTAATTATGGATATTGTTTGTACTTGATAAGCATTTGATGAATGAATGAATATACATGAACAAGCCAAGAGAGTGTAATTTTGTATGGGAAGTCAGTTCCAAAAATGTGGCAACACAGACCATAAAATTGGCTTTGAACTTTGTGATGTGCAGGGTGAAAGGGGTGATGTAGTCTGTTACGTAGCAGACCCTGGGGTCTTAACTACTTCTGGATGCAAAGGTGAGTCGGGAATAGCCAAGTCAATGATACCGATGCATAATTTCTTAGTTCTTGTTAACCAAGAAGAGAAAACATACTAGTTGCTCAGACAAGGCAAAATTCTTTAGGTCGTTTAGCACTACAACCTGTGGGTCTTCATTTGGGGCCACCAGGTGAGATGGTGGGCAGGTGCGCTCCTCCCATGGGAGAGCTGTGGCATCGCACTGATCGTAACTCAGGGTCCACACAAACCCAGTCGGCGTGCACGTTTGTTCTGATGCTGACTTCTGAGGACTGATCCCAGGCTTCTGGGCACACGGTTTCTATAAACTGTTCTCAGACAGTCCGGGTCTGTAGGGTGCCTCTGGTGATGGAGAGAAGAGGATGGATAGGGTACAGGGCAGAAGGAGCCTGGCCCCCAGCTTATCTTGTTGTCCAGTTTGTAGACTGGAGTTTTGCTTTAGAATAAAGAATTATTTTTACTCATAAAGAAGGCTGAATTGTACTGGTTTAGATGATTGTATATCCTTCAGACAACCCTCTCACAGGTCACGCTCTCCTGGGCATAGCTTTAGATGAAAGTTAGCAGACCATTCACATTTAGAGTCTATGATGAGGACCTGGGCTGTGGTTCTCTGGGCCGATGTTCTAAATTGATGGAGGCTACTCTAATTTTGTTAGTGATCAAACTAGGGAATGGAAGCTTGCATCCCCTTGTGGAAATCATGGAGCCTGGCCAGCAGTCTCCGTGACATGTGCCGAGAGGAAGAAGCTGGTGGTGGGGTGGCATAGTGTTTTACTAGGAGGGAAAGACAAACTTTAGCATCAGAATGAAATGGGCAAGATGGTTTTAAACCATCGAGTCCAAGACTGAACCCTGGCTTTTGAGAGGCTGCAGTTTTAACAATTCATTCCTCTGTCTCCAGTCATTCCGGGAGGAAAACAACTTTAGATGTGAGGTTGGGCTCTTCAGAACTTACTTAGAAATTTCTTTGTGTTTTTTATCAGGTGAACAATGATGACAGCCAACATACTTAAAATCCAGTATTTGGAGAAATGTTTCATGTGGGGGCGCACATAGCGAGAAATGCTCTTTATGGCATTGGTACATTTTTCATTTGTGCTGTTAAAAAGTAAATACAGTATTTCTGTGTATCTGTGTCATTTCTGGATAGTTTATAATGAGAGGAAGCTATAGAAAAGGTGCTGTTTTTCTGGGTCCAAAAAGGCCAAATATTGGCAACTTCCTATTGTTCAACCTAATAATGTTAAAAAAAAAAAAATTGTCTTGTGTTTACACCTGAAGGGACGGGGGTCTGTAGACCTAAAGAGCGGTTTGTTGTTCTGTTCTGTCCCGAAACAGAGAAAATGCCGGTCCTGAAGGCTGAGGCGTCGCATTATAACGCCGACTTGAACAGCCTGCTGCTGTGCTGCCAGTGTGTGGACGTGGTGTTTCACAGCCCAGACCTGGAGGAGGTGGCTGAGGCCCACAAGATCGTCCTCTGCGCCGTCAGCCACGTCTTCATGCTGCTCTTCAGCGTGAAGAGCCCCGCCGACATCCAGGATTCCAGCATCATCCAGACCACCCAGGATCTCTTCACGATAAACAGAGACCCTGCGTTCCCAGGTGCTAGCCAGGAGTCTCCGGGCAACCCTCCCTTACGCGTCATAGTGAAAGACGCCTTCTTCAGTTCTTGCTTAGCGGACATCCTGCGCTTCATTTATTCAGGTATCTTGTCAGATGGTTCTGATGCAGCCGCATACGCTTCTGAAATGAAGTATGCCCGTGGTCTTCGTGTGTACTGGTTGGTTTTATCATTCTCTTCTTCATGCTATCTGAGGTGATGATTGTAAATGAAATATTTGCTTTATCCACAGGAATTGGTCCAAGCCTCCTCTCTCCTTACAAGTCTTGCCTTGGTTTTACATCTGCCTGTAGAAAGAATAACCTCTTTTCCTATTGAGCGAGTATGTTAGTATTGAAGTGTTAGTCACTCAGTTGTGTCCAACTCTTTGCGATCTCATCGACTATAGCCCTCCAGGCTTCCCTGTCCATGGAATTCTCCAGGCAAGAATAATGCAGGGGGTAGCCATTCCCTTCTCCAGAGGATCTTCCTGACCTAGGGATCGAACCTGGGTCTTCTGCATTGATTCCTTACCATCTGAGCCACCAGGGAAGCCATTATATTTAAAAGAATATTCAAAATTCATTTTGAATATTCAGTATTCAAGAATTCATTGGTTCAACTTTAAAGAAATAAAAATCTTCAAATATATATGAAAATAAGTGTCTTTACTTACTTATTCTTATTTGACTCAGATTTTGGAGGGAATTGAAGGGAGAAATTACCATGATCATTGTATTCAGTTTAGCATCTAGAAACAGTATCTAAAGTTAGTTCAGACTGATATCTAATTAACTTTGTGACTATTTCAAACTACTTTATTTACTTCTGTGCCCTTATCTTTGTAAGATTCAGCTTATCAATTGTGTTTCTTCTTATCCTTTTAAAAGCTCAGTATAGCACATATATTCTAAAGATCAGACTTTTTTAACAGGGTGACTTCCTGGGTAACTCAACTGGTAAAGAATCCACCTGCAATGCAGGAGTCCTGGGTTCAATCCCTAGGTTGGGAAGATTCCCTGGAGGAGGGCATGGGCACCCACTCCAGTATTCTTGCCTGGAGAATCCCATGGACAGAGGAGCCTGGCGGGCTGCAGTCCATGGGGTCACAAATAATCAGACACGACTGAGTACCTGAGCACAGCACTTGAGCAGATAAATTGGATACTCACATTTAAGTGTCCTATTTAAGAATAGAAAAGAATGGATGTAAAATGATTTTTAAAGTAAGCATCTAAGTACACATTTTCTGAAGATTTCTCTCCTTTAATTTTCTTTTTCTGCCTGGAACCATGTGCTGATGAATTAATAGGTTAAGATTGCTAATTCTCTGGACTGTGTCTGGAGAAACATTTATAATCTGTTTTTCGACTTTAGAATTGCAGACTGATGAAATGTTTGCAGGTAGAGAAAAAGTATAACTTAGCATCAGAGATTTGCGTAGCCTTCCGTTCAAATGATTGATGATAAGATTTTTCTTTTTTTCATTGGAGTTGTGTTTAGTTTTGCAAGTTAAGAAGTTAATGGTTGTGAAAAATACAGTTGTAGCATGCAGATTTAAGTGGATTGAAAATATATATATTGGAGTTGAATGTGGTGATATAAATCTTAAATCCATTAAGTGAATATTTGCTTGGGCTATTGCACCCCTGCAGAGCATACCAGCATAGTCAGTGCCTTCGGCATGGCAGCCTGTCTGTAAGTGTAGGCTGAACTAATGAGTAGACTCTAGTAGCTGTGAATCATTATGTGAACAAATCAGATAAGCTAGAGACTTCATTTAGTACAACAGATTTTTATGTTTAAACTTAGAATCTCACAGTTCAGAATTAGGACTAATTTTGAAAAGCCAAAATGTTTACACGTTTGAAAAAAAAAAATGTCTTTAATGATATGTCAGAGAACCATGATGGAAGTGTTTGATTTTTTTTTTTCAATGAGTCTGCTGTTGAAGTCATGAATTATTCAGCATGTTTCCCACAGTATCCATTAAATACTTTCAAAAGCACATGAACACTTTGAGGTCAGTTCTGTCCTCTTTAATATGGTAGCAATAAAGTAACTAAATGTATGTCCAGTGACAGAACCTGCTTATTTTTCTCCTAGGGAGTAATTTTTTTTTAACTGTAAAATTCATACATACAGATGGAAAAAGGGGGGAAGAGAAAAGAAGAAAGTTCTCACTCCTTAGTACCCTTCCCCAGAGTTGACTACCTATTATAAGTCGTTCATGTATTCACACTCTAATGCTTTCTGAGAGAAATGAATATGTTGAGAAACTTGCACTAATGCAAATGTAACCTTTGGTGACTGCTGTTTTCTGGGAACCACGGGTAGTTTCCATGGGTGGAGCATGGAGTGGGAGGTGATGGCTGGAAGGAGATGAGGCTGGCAGGGCCCGTGGGAGCTGCTCCTGCAGTTCTGAGAAGCTGTTCTAGAACTTTATGCATGATCAGACTGGGCTTTGGAAAGATCCTCTCTAATGATGGTGGGAAGCTGGAAGAGAAGGCAAGACAGGAATGCAGTCAGGAGGCACTGTTATTCTGGAGCTCAGCCTAAGGACGGCCAGCGTTCTGAAAGTAGGTGGGTGGTCTTGCAGCCTCTCTATCACCTGTACCAGTGCTCTTCAAACCTTAAAGTACCTGCCAGTCACCTGGTGACCTTGTTAATATGCAGATTCTGATTTGGTGGGCCCTGGTAGGGCATCAGTTCAGTTCAGTTGCTCAGTCGTGTCCGACTCTTTGCGACCCCAGGGATTGCAGCACGCCAGGCCTCCCTGTCCATCACCAACTCCTGGACCTTGCTCAAACTCATGTCCGTTGAGTTGATCATGCTGTCCAACTATCTCATCCTCTGTGGTCCCCTTCTCCTCCTGCCTTCCATCTTTCCCAGCACTGGGGTCTTTTCCAGTGAGTCAGTTCTTCAAATCAGGTGGCCAAAGTATTGGAGCTTCAGCTTCAGCATCAGTCCTTCCAATGAACATTTAGGACTGATTTCTTTTAGGATTGACTGGTTTGATCTCCTTGCTGTCCAAGGGACTCTCAAGAGCCTTCTCCAACACCACAATTCAGAAGAATCAATTCTTTGGCGCTGAGCTTTCTTTATGGTCCAACTCTCACATCTGTATGTGACTACTGGGGAAACCACAGCTTTGACTAGACGGACCTTTGTCGGTAAAGTAATGTCTCTGCCTTTTAATATGTTGTCTGGGTTGGTCATAGCTTTTATTCCAGGGAGCAAGCTGAATTTCATGACTGCAGTAACCATCCACCATGATTTTGGAGCCCAAGAAAATAAAGTCTGTCACTGTTTCCACTTTTTCCCCATCTATTTGCCATCTGGGACCAGATGCCATGATCTTAGTTTTTTGAATGTTGAGTTTTAGGCCAAGTTTTTCACTCTTCTCTTTCACTTTCATCCAGAGGCTCTTTAATTTTTCTTCACTTTCTGCCATAAGGGTGGTGTCATCTGTGTATCTGAGGTTATTGATATCTCTCCCTGCAATCTTGCTTCCAGCTAGTGCTTCATACAGCCCAGCATTTCGCATGATGTACTCTACATATAAGTCAAATAAGCAAGGTGACAGTATATAGCCTTGACATACTCCTTTCCCTATTTAGAACCATTTGCTGTTCCATGTCCGGTTCTAACTGTTGCTTCTTGACCTGCATAGAGATTTCTCAGGAGGCAGGTCAGGTGGTCTGGTATTTCCATCTCTTTAAGAATTTTCCACAGTTTGTTGTAATCCACACAGTCAAAGGCTTTAGTGTAGTCAGTGAAGCAGAAGTATATGTTTTTCTGGAACTCTCTTGCTTTGATGATCCAACAGATGTTGGCAGTTTGATCTCTGGTACCTCTGCCTGTTCTAAATCCAGCTTGAACATCTGGAAGTTCTCGGTTCATGTACTGTTGAAGCCTGGCTTGGAGAATTTTGAGCATTACTTTGCTAGTGTATGAGATGAGTGCAGTTGTATGGTAGTTTGAACATTCTTAGGCATTGCCTTTCTTTGGGATTGGAATGAAAACTGACCTTTTCCAGTCCTGTGGCCACTGCTGAGTTTTCCAAATTTGCTGACATATTGAGTGCAGCACTTTCACAGCATCATCTTTTAGGATTTGAAATAGCTCAACTGGAATTCCATCACCTCCACTAGCTCTGTTTGTAGTGATGTTTCTTAAGGCCCACTTGACTTTGCATTCCAGGATGTCTGGCTCTAGGTGAGTGATCACACCATCATGGTTATCTGGTAAGATCTTTTTTGTATAGTTCTTCTGTGTATTCTTGCCACCTCTTCTTAATGTCTTCTGGTTCTGTTAGGTTCATACCATTTCTGTCCTTTATTGAGCCCATCTTTGCATGGAATGTTCTCTTGGTATGTCTAATTTTCTTGAAGAGATCTCTAGCCTTTCCCATTCTACTATTTCCCTCTATTTCTTTGCATTGGTCACTGAGGAAGGCTTTCTTATCTCTCCTTGCTATTCTTTGGAACTCTGCATTCAGGTGGATATATCTTTCCTTTTCTCCTTTGCCTTTCGCTTCTCTTCTTTTCTCAGCTATTTGTAAGGCCTCCTCAGACAGCCATTTTGCCTTTTTTTGCATTTCTTCTTCTCGGGGATGATTTTGATCTCCGCCTCCTGTACAGTGTAACAAGCGTCCGTCCATCGTTCTTGGCAGGCGCTCTATCTGTCAGATCTGGTCCCCTGAATGCATGAGGGTCTGCCATGTAGTCTCCAGGCAGTGCTGATACTTTGTACACAAGTTGCTGCAGCACCTGCTCTGGGAAAAAGTGGGACCGCCAGCCACAGCCAGGGGCCGAGGGCCCGGAATTCCGCCCCAAGGCCCTGAGGAGGAGCCCAGTGATTGGTGTCAGGGCACAGGATCAGAGTGGGACGCCTGCCAGGCCGACTGACACAGAGCTCTCTGGAGTGGGGGCTGTCCATGCATTCTTGTACCCCCTGCCTGAAGTTGAGGAAAGTCAGTGCTTTGTGGGTGGGTGGAAACCAAGTGAGCCTGGCAACAGTGACTAGAAGCCAGAGGCGCGTGATGACAGGGAGAGCTTGCTGAGCTGCAAACTCCGCACCAGTTCAGGGCCTGGACTTCCTAGTCTGACACTTAGCTGTTGCCTTTCTGCTCTGAACTTTGTTTGCATGTGACTCAGTCAAGAGGTAGCCAGGAACACACTGGCCACAGGCCACTGACCTGGGGCTGCAGGGAGACCTGGATGTGGGCTGAGGTAAAAGGAAAATAAATGCTGCAGCAGGTGCCTAATAATTATTCTTTAATTATTTACTCGGTATAACCTCAGACTCAGGCAAAAGTGATACTGTTCTCTGTGTTTAAAAGGACTACCATCTCAGCAAAATACAATTAATTGAGAAGAAAAATCAACCAGATTCCTGATCGCAAATGTCTAAACGTTTTCTGATGTTTTGTTTTTGCCCTTTGATCTTTTCCTGGTACATAGGTTGCTTATTTAAAAAAATATTTTTTAATTAAAGCAAACTAAAATTTGAAACCTAATTTATTTTTTCTTAGAAACTTAAAGAGGCTGGGCTTGTGTATTTTCTGTTTGTTTGTCTTATTGTTATCAAACATCTAACAACTTTTGAACAGAGCACGAGTCGTAAGACCCAGTTTCGCACTGGTTTCCTCCTTGCAGCCCAGGCCTTGCTGCAGGTCATGTTGGGAACCGTGGAAGACAGGAGCTGGTTGTGCTCACGTCAGTTGGACCAGGAGGCAGAGGCAGAACCCATGACAGGGCATGCTCTGGAATGTTTGCCCTGAGCAAACACGGGCTGAAAAACCCTATTAAACCTGTCTCCTCCTTTAAAAAAAAAAAAATGAACCAAATGACAGAGAATGTCTCCATTCTTTTTAAAATTTAAAAAAATTTTTTTTATAATTTTCTTTTAACCTTTAGGAATTTGAAATGTAGATATCATGTCTGCCATGGACATTTGAGTCACGTATTTAGAAAGGGCCTTTTAATACTCTGGTTAACACTTTACGCCTATAATGAAGGCCTCTGTTCATTTTCGTATTCAAATTTCTGAGCAAACAGACACAGTGAAAGTGCATATGTTAATTTCCTCTTGGATAGCTGCTAACATTGCATAATGTCTGAGTGCTTCATGACCACCACTGACATTGTGTGTGCATGTTCAGTGGTTTCTGACTCTTTGAGACCCCATGAACTGGAGCCCGCCAGGCTCCTCTGTCCATGGGATTTTCCAGGCAAGAATACTGGAGTGGGCTGCCATTTCTTTCCCCAGGGGATTTTCCCTACCCAGGGATCAAACCCACGTCTCTTGGGTTTTCTTCATTGGCAGGCGGATTCTTTACCACTGAAAGAGGAATAATCTGAAGTGAGGCCAGCGGTTTCCTGGTCTTGAGGAGTAATCCTTAAATGGCATACAATTGTAACATTCTTACAATACTCTGTACAGCCTTTATGCTGGCAGATTCCTGAGTCACAGGATCTCAGATGGATAGCAATTGAAATCTTTGTAAGAGCATCAAGAATTTAACTTTGAGCTCTTCCTGCCACAGATGGCCCTTAGAATTTCACATCACTTACTGAAATGCTGCCAGGATAAATGAATATGTGGAAATGAGCATAGTATTCTCCAGCTCTTGAAATTATTCTGTGATATGCTCTTTTCTGCACTGCATAAAAGAACAGTTGAATGCACATGGGTAGATCATGCTCTCTAAGACTAAGTAAATAAGTGCCCTAAGAAGTTAAAGAAGATCACAGTCAGTTACGTAGGGTGACATCTAGAGCTCTGCTGAAACATACAGTACCATGCCTGTTGTTAGCAGTAGTGTGTTGAGCACTTAAAACTATGTTGAGAAAATGGAAAACATGTTAAATGTTATTGGGGCTTCCCTGGTTGCTCAGACTGTAAAGACTCTGCCTGAATGTGGAAGACCTGGGTTTGATCTCTGGATCGGAAAGATCCTCTGGAGAAGGGAATGGCTACCCACTCCAGTCCTCTTGCCTGGAGAACCCCATGGGCAGAGGAGCCAGGGGGGCTACACTCCATGGGGTCACAAAAGAGTCAGACGTAGCTTAGCGCCTAACACTAAATGTTATTACCACAAGGAAAGAAAAGAAAAATCTCAGTCTGATTATTGCTTTATGAGGACCTAAGTGTCAAAGATGATTTGATTAGCATTTCTAATTATGAAAAGAACCCAGTCGTTAGAGTGCCCTTATAACTTAAGCTTACTCTTCTTTTCAGTTATTGGATCTTTCTGTGTCTGTTCTCCAACAGATTGATATCCTGTAGGGATTTACCTGCTGCTAATCTTAATGCACTTAGATTTGATGCTTGTTTTCTTTCTGATATTCTTCTGAAGGGAGATACCGTGTAGGTGTTCTTTAGTTAATGTAACTTTACTTCTAAGAAACAATACCTGTGCTCTCCTTTAACATGTGTGAATATCGGTCAAAACTACTTCTTCCATGTGCTGTTTGCTGCATGCCGCTGACCCTGGGTTTTGATAGTAGATGAAATATCTAAAGGAAGAGCAATAGTCATTAGTACTCAATGCACACTAGAATTTCCTGGAGGCTTTTAAAATTGATTTCTGGGCCCCATCTCCGTCTGGGGATAGGACCTTCTCCAGTGGTATTTTATAAAAGATCTTCCAGGTAAATGTAATACATAGCTAGAGGTGAGAATCACTGGCGTAGAGTGAATTTTCTTGAACTCAGGTCCCTTGGCTTCTAAGGGATCCTTCTCTTTTATGTAGACTTCAATGGCTATGCGTGTGTGGGAAATTTTCTGGAGCAGTGATCCAGAGAATTCATCAGATTGTGAAAAGAGTACGTGACTTGAAGTTAAAAATCACTCGTTGAGGAAGAGGAAAACAAAAAGCATGGGCTTGTTCTAGACTGTACGCCTTGGGGAGTTTGAGGAGGGAGAAGAGCTAACAGTGAAGTCAGAGAAAGAGTGCTGAAAGGTAAGAGGAGGCAGGGGTGCCCTGGAGCTAGCTAGTGCCAATGTGTGAGAGACAGTGGTATTTACCTATTCCTAGAGGTGTGTTCCAGAGAAGGCAATGGCACCCCACTCCAGTACTCTTGCCTGGAAGATCCCATGGACAGAGGAGCCTGGTAGGCTGCAGTCCATGGGGTCGCTAAGAGTTGGACATGACTGAGCAACTTCACTTTCCCTTTTCACTTTCATACGTTGGAGAAGGAAATGGCAACCCACTCCAGTGTTCTTGCCTGGAGAATCCCAGGGACGGCAGAGCCTGGTGGGCTGCCGTCTATGGGGTCGCACAGAGTCGGACACGACGAAGCGACTTAGCAGCAGCAGCAGCAGCAAGGGTGTGTTCTGTGTTGTTGTATTGAACTTGGCCATGGTGGGAGCATGTACCCCACAGAATAGCAAATGCCTCAAATGAGGACTGTCCTTCCCCGACCCCTCTCCCAGGATACACTGTAGTAGTCATGAAGAGTAGGTAAGGAGAAGTTGAAGACAGGCAAGGATGCCAAGTGCCGCAGGGCTTAGCTGTAACGAGGCCTGAGAGCAACTGGACTGCCAATATGATTCTAAAAGATTAGCTTTGGATCTCCTTGGTACAGCCTGGCGGCAATTGCCTAATCTCACTGGTTCAGTAAATGTTCATTCTGTGCCCTGTCCACTCCCCGGTATTCATGAAGGCACCTGGCAAAGTTCTGGCTACCTGAAGGGAAATAGCAGAAGAGAAAGATCGAGAGCAAACAGAAAAGGATCTCAAGTCACCCAGAGGGATAAATCAGCTAAATTCATACCAGTCGTTAATGGTGAAGGTAGAACTGGAACCTGGGTCTCCCAGCTGTGCCCACTCACTCTGTATCTTTTTGAGTTGTATTTTTAGGATTTAGAACTGTCTATAACGGAGAAGGCAATGGCACCCCACTCCAGTACTCTTGCCTGGAAAATCCCATGGACGGAGGAGCCTGGTGGGCTGCAGTCCATGGGGTCGCTAAGAGTTGGACACGACTGAGCGACTTCACTTTCACTTTTCACTCTCATGCATTGGAGAAGGAAATGGCAACCCACTCCAGTGTTCTTGCCTGGAGAATCCCAGGGCCGGGGGAGCCTGGTGGGCTGCCGTCTATGGGGTCGCACAGAGTCGGACACGACTGAAGCGACTTAGCAGCATAAGGGATGGGATGGATGGGGGTAGTCTCTATAGAAATGTACTTTGGAAACTTAGCATCGTTGATAGTAAGATTCACTTGATGCAGAAAAGGCCAATAGGAAGTAGGAAGGCTGGGTCGGAGACTGCTGTAGGCTAAAGAGAGAAGTGTTTGGGGGAAGGGGAGACGTTTTGCTGATCCTGGAATAGGAGACTTGTAAGACACAGAGGTAAGGGGCCCGATAGGAGTGAAGTGAACCTAGGAAGCAATGGCTTAAAAGTGGGTTGGTGTGAAAAGGGAGAGAGGGACTGGATAGGGTGATTTTCTTTTTTTTTTTTTAATGTCACAGTTGTGTAGTTCTACAGAATACTATCCAGCTCTCGTCTTCCGGTTGGCTCTGTAAGCACTGGCTGTGGAACGTCCTCATCTGACCCTGACAGTGCATGAAACCTTCTGGATGCGCTCTGTTCCTTTGCTGACGGTAGTCACTGCCCGTTATGACTGGCATCGTTGAGTCCGGCCTCGGAAGGGGCCACGTCCGCCTCTCACTCAGAGCAAGTAAACAAGTCGAGTGTCGGACCTCTTGTGATGGGAACTCGTGTCCTAGCTGCTGCTGCTGCCATTGGCTGATCGCCTGTTATAAAGAGGCGGCAGCTGTTCGGAAAGGAGACTCTAGCTTTTGAGCAATAACTTAGGTGAAGGCAAACTTTTTTTTTTTTTTTAATGTGAAGGCTGTTTAAATGTTTTAGTACAATTACAGGAATATATGTTTGATAAATAAAAATTATAAGAAAATTTTAAAAAAGGAACATTGATACCCAGTAAAATATTTATCTTTCTTCCTGCTTTAACAAAAAATTCAATATATATTGATTTATTTACAGGTGCCTTCCAGTGGGAAGAGTTAGAAGAAGATATCAGGAAGAAATTGAAAGATTCTGGAGATGTTTCAAATGTAATTGAGAAAGTTAAATGCATTTTAAAAACACCAGGAAAGGTAAATTAGTTTATTGTAAGTTACTTTAACTTTCTCTGAATTTTATCTGCTATACTGAAGTGAATATACTAGGGAGTCATGAGGAAGGTCGATAATGTATTTTTTTTCCTTAAGTATACTTTTTGCTGTTTAAATGTTTTAAATATAAACACATGATTTCTTGCTATCTCTGATTTTAATTCATGTAAGAATTCAAATATGTATGAGTCATGTCTTTAAAATGTTGGTTTGTGAATTCTCTTCCCTGAGACATTCCCCTGGGACACTGGGAATATGCAGTCTATATTAAGAATGAAGGCTGTTGAATTTGCCTGGTTATAGTCAGGCTTATTGGAGACAGTGCTTTCTCACTGCTTGCAGTTTCATTCCAAACAGTTTTCAGGGGCATGGCAGTTTCAGTGTGTGTCTTTTTCAAGAGTTGGGAGAAATCTCCTTGACTAGGTGGACAGCTGAGAATTTGTTTCTCATCCAGTATAGAGTTAAATGCATATGTTAGGTTCAAAGATTATGGTCATAAACTACTGCACACGAAAACTCTAGTAACTGAGATTTTGTAGAGTCTATGAGAGCCTTAAGAGTAAATTTGTTCACTTTCAAGATGACTGCATTATACAATTTAGCCAGAATCTTATTTCAGATTCTGTGATAAGCAAATTGACTACTTTAGATAAAAAGGTAAGTTGTGTGCACTGCTTAGCAGAATAGAGGTTTATGTTAAATGTAAGAAAAATGATTATTTCTTTAATTTTTTATACAGATGACCGCCAATGCTGTAACCTAAGTTTATGAACATTTTAAGTTAATGTTTCAAAACGGCACTAAGTTTTTATAAAGATTCCCAACTATTCTTTAAATAAAAAAATGAATTCTTTTTAAACAAAATATGGGATTAAGGGATAAGGCCATCCTTTTCTTGTTTTAATAGCACATTGAAGCAGGTATACAGAAGCTGGCCACTTGTGCCGGTGTATGGCAGGGTGGTAGCTCTTACAGTCTAATTTAGCTAAATAATGCTTTTGTAGAAATGTGCATTGTAGACTTGCACTCTGCTTTTCAAAAGTTCTCTAGATGAACTTGCTCAGAGACCAATGAAAATACACATATTCTCTCCAAACTTCCGCCCTCGCATTTTTTTTTCCCCCAAATTCAAGGCATAGTTGGCTTGGTGGCCTAATAGTTAGAATTCTGGCCTTTCATTTCTGTGGCCTGAGTTCAATTCCTGGTCAGGGAATTAAGATCCTGTAAGCCATGTGGTATGGCCCAAAGCAGGGAAAAAAAAATCAAGGCATAGGTGACAAGGAAATCTGTTATACAGAGCCATAATCTTTATCTGTTGATACCTAAAATACATCTACATGTATTCATGGTGTACAAATTCATAACCTTTACCTAAATGGTTAGGACAGAAGTGTTGCCTGTTGTTCTAAACCTGAGCTTTTCCTTGGATTGGATTCTGAACAGTCATTCCTTTGAGTGGGAAGAATAAAGCAACTTTTTCTTGGGCAAGGGAAAGCTGGGGCCTGTATTATTCTATGGGATTGAACTGAACTCTTCCTTTGCATGGGAGGGCACAAGAGTTCTATGCTTTCTTCCTGTGCTTTCCTGGGGGTCTCTCTTCTTTGAGTATTGGGATTCAGGAAATAGCCATTTAAATTGTGTCTGCTCTAAATTACCTGAGGCTTTGAGTAAGTCTTCTCAGGGCTTTCTCTAAAATGAGGGATAAACTAGGCATCGTTTAATCAGTTTATCAGGCGTAGTTTATAGGATTTACCGAATCCTAACCATTCGGCCATGAAGAACTTCCATCTATGCCTAGTTTATCTCTAGACTGATTTCTGAAGCCCTCAAGTTCTGACGATGATTTTTGACTGGTCCTCTCCTTTATGTCCCACAAGTCCTCATCCCTAGCTCCTTCAATGTGTATGAAAGTATATTGTGTATAAGAACTTAGATTATAGGAGCAGGGTTTGTATAATCCTATTTTGATCATCTGTTTTGCTCATGGATATTATCCTGGAGTGTGTGTTGTTCTTGGAGAGGAAGGATAAGTTTTTTTCCCTTCTCGCCAAACCTTTTTAACTTCCCACCCTAGTAGATTAACTCAGAGTGGGGAGTAGGTGTCTTTTATTCTTATTGCTAGCGTTGTACACCTGGTTATTTCTTGAAGATAAAGCTTTCTGAATTTCCTGTCTGGCTGAGCAGAGGGTCAAGAGTTCTGACCCGGCCAGAGGTTCTGAGAGTCAGCCAGGGAACTGGGTGATGGAGGAAGGGAGAGGGGCTGGCCCCTATTTCCTGGGGTTCTTTCCTTCAGAAAGGGTTGTCTGAAGGATCACAGAAGGGATGCACAGAGCACCAGATCCTGAGTGGGGAGCAGAGAAAGGCTAGAGACCCCCAGCCTTCTTCACTGTTAACTGGAGGCTCCAGCTAGGAGTTCGGAGAGGACAGATTGATGTGGCCATGGAACAGGGTTTCTAGAGCTCCAGATGAGAGATGCAGGCAGTCTTTGATAGATTCCAACCATCATGACTGTGGGCAGGAGAGCTATTTAGGATTATAAGGTTGTAGATCAAGATGCATTAGTCCCTCACTCCCAGGTGTATTAACGTTGCATCTAGTGAGCAGTAGAACTTGATGTGACAGGTGAAAAATATGTGTGTTTTCTTAATTGCAAATTAAATTTTGTGTATATATTTTCTTAACTCGCGAATAGACAAGCAGGTTGCATATGCCAACATGTTTTACTAGGCGTTCACATGAGGTCGCACTACTGTTGTCTGTTTCCCAGGTAACAACGGTCCGGGGGGTTCAGGACCCATAGCGTCTCAGTCGTAGAGTTTTCACTTAGCCGGTTCCTTCACTGCTGTGAGCGCTGCGTAATGCAGTGTTGCTCATTGACAGGTAGCAGATGCAGTTCTCTAGGGTAGGTTTACACGAAAGCTGTGACCGGAGATGCCGTAGGGTGGGTAATCCACTGCTCCTTCAGACAGCAGAGATTTCCGAGTTCTCTAGGCAAATGATCAAAACATATTGTATAATTTTTCCTCTCGTGTCTTTATTTCTCCTTATAGTTTAATTGCCTAAGGAACTGCAAAACCTATCAAGCCAGAAAACCTCTGTGGTTTTATAACACTTCCCTCAAGTTTTTCCTTAATAAACCAATGCTTGCTGATGTTGTCTTCGAAATACAAGGTATAGTTCAGATTTTACAAAGTTCATCATTCATGTTAATTTCTTGTTGTAACTTTCTATTTCAGCTTTGAGTATTTTGGGTGAAGGAATGACTATTCTCTATTGTAGGATGTAGATTAATAGTACTTGAGTTTCTACAATTTCTAGAAAATTTCATTTTCTAGGGAAATGAAATATTTTATTAAAATAAGAAAATTTATATTTTCCTTAGTTTGTTGTTATTGTTACCCAGTGCTTCGTTAACCTTAAGTGACTAGCAGGGGATAGAGTGATGTTTTTACAAATTGCCCAACAAACTTGTGTATTTTGTTTGTGTATTTCTTTAAGATTGTACTTTTTGAATCATCTGAAACTAGCCCCCTCAACATTTAACATTACATCTAGTTTATGTTTGCAGCTCTTTTCCTTTTTAATTGAGCAAAAGGAACTCCTCGTGCTGAGGGTATTGCCTGGCTTACATCAGGCGTCTGTAGTTATCACTACATTTACTTCTTAATGACACTCCGAGCTATTGCCGCTTTTTAGCTCTGTTGGAAAGTAGTGCTACCTAATTTTAATAAAGATGAGCTCTTTTAATGCCCATTATTGTTATTCGCTTGGATACTTTGTTACTTTAGTAGATTGAAAGCATAGTCTTAAAAGTGAATTGTGAAATACCTTTAATTAGGCAAGAAAGCTGGAAGGAGTTGTTTCAAATGAATTAAGTACACCTTCAGGTGGGCTGTTACTAAAAGGAAGATTTAATTTAATTTTATGGTAGAAATGTATGGCAGCTAATAGTACCTTACTTTTTAAAAATGTTCACCAGAAAGATTTGTTTTGCTTTTTACTCTGGTCACTTGCCAAGACAAACAATGAATTGGTAACTTTCCAAGGTGCCTTTGGGTAAGTGGCTGTTAGTAGCTGCAGACTGAGTGTGGGCTACTGAGAATGGGACAGTCAGTGACCTTGAAATTATGTAAAATGAAATTCAGAGAAAAGAAGGCTAACAGTTGACCAAATTTCCTTATCATTTGCAGAGGAGGCACTGACACCAATTATTTTACACTATTACTTTGTAATATTACTTTAATAATATTGTATATTATTTTGCAATATTATTTTAAAACAATATTTTTAAATATTAAATAATAGTGTACACTGTAATTTTAGTGTAACCTGTTGAAAAGAGTTTTGTGGGGAATATGCAATGCATGAAAATGTATGTTACATTGAGAGGACAAAGAGAGCAGGGATACAGAGAGCCCTCTCACAGGCTCCTGCTTTTCTTCGGCGCTCCCACCTACCTGCCGTTTGCAGGCACCTGCTCGCACCCCCACCGTGGCCGCGGCTGGACCCGCAAGGGCCCCCTGTGATGCCTGTGAGGATACCGCGTGGCAGCTGTTCTAATGCCCTTTGTAGCCGCCTCAGCTCAACACCCAAGGCCTCCAAGGAGAGGTGCAGGAATGGGCGAAAGCAGGGCCCAGCAGCACCTCTGCCACCCGCTGGCGGAAAGGCCGCCTAGCTCTGAGGAGTGTGGGGAGGGCAGCTTCCAGAGCCACGGTCGCTGCTCTGGCGGAGAGCCTGCAGCCCCAGCTCCAGCCTGGGCTTTGCTTCCCAGCCAGTGTGTATCCTTGGGCTGGTCCTCCATATGTCTGCCCGGAGTCTTCTCATTTGCAGAGTGAAGACCGTGAATCATGTCGATTCTAAAAGGTCCTTTCTAGTGTTAAGCTTGATGAGACAGTAGTGACAGACCAGGTCAGGGTTTTGCCTGGAAGCATTTTTATTATTTAATAGGTTTGGCTGTGTTACTTTGCTTTTTCGGATCCTCTGTTTCCTCACCTGTAAAATGGGGATACTAGTTTCTACCTGGGAGAGGGGTGAGTGGTCACGAGGATGGAGATGATGGTGCAGTAGAAAGGTATATTTAGAGGCCTGATGGACAAACCACACTGCGTTTTTCTGTGCTGAATCCAGGGCAGCAGCAGATCCTTTTTAAAAAATGTTCAGATATCACTGACTGGAGTTGACATAAGATAAAAAACTATGATTGAAATAGTCATCAAATGTACACTCATACAAATATATAAATGTATACAATGTGTATATAAGTTTGTATCTTTATCCATCAAATAAAACTAGTTGTGGTAAACTTTTGGATCTGATACAGATATGTCTTTTTTTGACATTTGAATCTATGCCTTATGAAAAATAAGCTACATTCTGTCTTGTTTACTTAGTACATATTCTGAACCTCTCTTGAGCTAGACAAGTTTCCTGTTTTCAGAATAAAACAAAAGAATGATTCTAAAAATTTCATTTTCGAAACTTGGCAAGTAGTGTGAAGAACATATGAAAAATGTAGTATTTTAGTATGTAATGAAAATAAGGATACTTGATAATCTGTGCAAAGTTACTGGAAACTGGACTTTAAAATATTGTTTCACTCTTTTTAAAACTCTTTTCTTAAAAAAAAAACTCTAACAATTTAATACTACAAAGGAAAGTTACTTTAGGTCTTGATGTTTTCAAAAGACATATTCATCTGTTAACTAGAAAACTGATGTCTTTTTCCCCTATGATTCTTCAGCTCTATCCTCTTGCTGTTGTGTAAATAATCACTGCGTTGTTTTCATTTAGCATGTTTTATACTTTGCTTATATATATGTGTGTGTGTGTATATATATATACATATACAGTGTTTAAAAATGTGGCTGGACTGAGGTATTGTGTTACAGTCTCATAGTAGAACAATTTATAACACCAGGACAGTAGTTTGAAAGGGTGAGAAACAGAAATGGGTATTTTCTTGATTGGAGGTGTAATGGTCTTTCAAACTCAATTCCAAGCTTGAAGTAAGCCTTAAAAATGCTTGAAGGCACTGAATGTTCTGTTCCTGGTTTTGTAATTCCATTGTAATCACAGTATCAACAGGAAATTTCTGTTCAAGTTTCAAGGTTACCCATCAAGTTTCTTTCCCATCTACTACTATCTACTAGGTATTTTTTTTTTCCAATCTTAAATTCCTCTGCTTAACCCGAATTGTAGTTTGTTTAAGCCATACTCCTATTTTTTCTTCTTTTTTCATGGTTCCTTATTTAAGGTTTTAGAATCTTCAAGTTGGAAGTCAAATTGCATTGCTTGTTTGAATTCTTTGTTAACTGCTGTGTACCAATATATCCAGCACACTTTCGTTGTGGAAACTGGTCACCCTCCACCGATGGACACTGTAACATTGAGGGCAGGTGACCGAAAGGCAGAGAGGGGGTCAGGAAGGGAGGCTGCCTGCTGGTAGGTGTGAGGACCTGGCAGGAGAACTCCTGAGACTTCTCCCTGCGCGCACAGGAGGTGGGTCTGTGCAGGTGACACAGTGTCAGGCAGTGAGTGCAGAACTGAGGCTGTCGTACGTTGCGCGTGGATTCTGAAGGGGTTATTGGCTTCGGAGAAAGTCACTAGGCTTATGTGGAACTTTTTTCCTCTTTTTTTCTGAGTCAGAAGATGTTGTGCTTGGATATTAAAGAGCACGAAGAACCCAGTAATTGTAAATATTTTGGAGAAGAATATATGCCCCTGAGAAGTATGAGATTTGGGGGCTGCCGGATGCAGACTTGTGGGCAGAGCGGAGTGGTCTGGCTCATAGAGTTACTTTCTGGAAGGGGAGAGGTTTGGCGTCTCCACACAGATGTAAAGAACAGACTTTTGGACTCTGTGGGAGAAGGCAAGGGTGGAATTATTTGAGAGAATACCATTGAAACGTGTATATTATCATATGTGAAACAGATCACCAGTCCAAGTTCGATGCATGAGACAGGGCACTCAAAGCCAGTGCTCTGGGACAACCCAGAGGGATGGGATGGGGAGGGAGGTTCAGGATGGGGGAAACATGTTCACCCATGGCTGATTCATGTCAATGCATGGCAAAAACCACCACAATATTGTAAAGTAATCAGCCTCCAGTTAAAATAAATAATTTAATCAAGCAAACAACAAAAAAATAATAAAAGTTTGGCATCTCCAAAGCGAGGTAGCTCCGTGTTTCTCATCTTTGTACATTCAATACCAAACGTGGTGGCTGTCCCGTGGCAGATGCTTGCTGGTGATCTGTTAATCTGATCTAGACTGAGCTGAAGGCTGGCTGTAGGAGGTGGGAATGGCGAGCCCCAGGCTACCTGAGTCCCATCTGCCGCAGCCGTGGTCCCTTGGCGTGGTAGTTGGCAGGCTTAGCAAGTTCCACTGGAGAGTCTGATCAGTTTCATGTGCTTCAGTGAGGGATGTAGGCTGAAAAATGAAAGTGAAGTTGCTCAGTTGTGTCCGACTCTTTGTGACCCCATGGACTGTAGCCTGCACCGGGCTCCTCCATCCATGGGATTTTCTAGCAAGAGTACCGGAGTGGGTTGCCATTTCCTTCTCCAGGGGATCTTCCCCCTCGAACCCAGGTCTCCCGCCTTGCAGGCAGATGCTTTACCCTCTGAGCCACCAGGGGAGATATAGGCTGAGGGGCCTTTAAAATTTAAAGCAGCCCTGGCTCTCCCACATGCAGGTATTATTCATCTGGAAAGGGGAGGTTCCCTGTGGAGGTACTGTGACAGGGAGGAAACAGGGGCCTAGGTCATCCATCGTCCTCTGAATTTTCCATGAAGTCTGAAATGTTGCCTTTGGCCCCACAAGAATTTCCCTTGCCATTCTTGCTGTGATCTATGAACAGCTGAGGCTAAGCATGATTTATTTTCCTGTTTCTGACACACGGAAGCCTGGCCAAGACTATACTGTGAGTAATGGCTGTGTTTCCTTGGGAGGGCACATGGGCAGGGGTGGGTAGTGGTATTTCAAGCCAATTGTAGAGGAATGGATGTTTCCTTATAAAAACATGTAGCAAAATATTTCAGTGTTTCTAGCTTCAGGAAATAAAAACTAAGTAACAAATAATTGCCTGACTTGCAAATTGTTGGTTTCAAAGTCAACTTTTCAACTCTCTGAATTTTTCAATTTATTTAAAAAACTGAAACTCTCTGAATTTTAGTGCTGGTTATCACCCCCAGATCTGGTTTCTGAATGTCAGCTTCGCTGTGCCTAGCTAGCGCAGTACCATTCTGATTAGAAGGAAAATTGCTAGAAGAGTAACTCGGCAGGCTTATCCCCTTGGCCTTGTCTCCCTGTTGGACCTCACAGGTACCACGGTGCCGGCCCACAGGGCCATCCTGGTGGCCCGGTGTGAAGTGATGGCAGCCATGTTTAACGGGAATTACATGGAAGCGAAGAGTGTTCTGATTCCAGTTTATGGTGTTTCCAAAGAGACTTTCTTGTCATTCTTGGAATATCTGTACACAGACTCCTGTTGCCCAGGTGAGCCATTGTTCATGTTAGATGATGATGTTCATTCGCTAAGTCATGTCCGACTCTTTGCGACTTCGTGGACTGTAGCACGCCAGGCTCCTCTGTCCTCCGCTATCTCCCAGGCTTTGCTCAGATTCATGTCCACTGAGTCAATGATACTATCTAACCAACTCATCCTCTACTGCCCTTTTCTCCTTTTGCCTTCAATCTTTCTCAGCATCAGTGTTGAGCTTCCCTTGTGGCCCAGTGGCAAATAATCTTCCTGACAATTCAGGAGACATGGGTTCCATCCCTGGGTCGGGAAGATTGCCTGAAGAAAGAAATTGGCAACCCACTCTAGTATTCTTGCCTGGAGAATCCCATGGACAGAGGAGCTGGGGGCAGGCGCGGGTGGGTGGGGGCGGTGGGCTACACTCCATGGGGTTGCAAAAGAGTTGGACGCAAGAACTAAACAACAAAAACATGTTAAATAGAATCTCATAATTCTTTCTTTCCTGATAATCCATTTTGAGACATTGCTTTCTATGAAACCTCTTTTCATTTAAGGTTGGTGGGAGCTGACATCGTGGAATGTGCCAAGTAGGTGGAGGTGATGTTGGGACAACAGAGAATTTTTAGAGTCGGTTCAAGTGGAAGAGTGGTGATTGGGTGCCTCTTGTGGGCCCTCAGGCCCAAGGATAAGTTCCCGTGTCTCTGCAGCACCAGCAGCACGCTGATCACTGCAAGCCTCCTGAAGTGGAGGTGTCTCATAGTACTCAGGGGCCACTCCACTGCCGCAGGTCAGGGCAGAGAACTCCCTAGAACACTGTCCTTTCATGAGGAAAATAGGGTTGGGCAGCCGCTTTTTATGCCTCTGACTTCCGATTGAGGCACTTTTAAGAAATTTCAATATTCTGAGATTCCTGTGGTTATCACTCTAGCCCAGAGGATGGCGTTTTTCCAACTTTTAATACTAAAAAGTCTGACTTTTTTCTGACTTCTAGAACCATACTCTCCTAAAGCTGACTTATCCACAAACTTTTCTTCAGTGGTTTAGAATACCCAGTGTACTGTAGGATTTATTTCCCTCTTCACCTACTGGTGACTGAGAACTGTCTGGCAGCTGCAGAGTGGACCAGATCTTGTAGGTTCCCTGGACCTGGAGGCACTTTGGAGAAACTGCAGAATCCTTGCCACAGCCCCGGAGCCTTGGGATGCAGGCATAGGAGCCCCTTTTAGCTAGTTTTTATCCTTTGACCACCAGGTGGCTCCCATTGCAGATTCAACCAGAATAGGCCCCGGCGTGTAGTCAGGAGCCTGAGACCTTGGTTACAAGGACCGGGCCAGGCACCCTTGCCAATATAAAAAGAAGATACACCTTTCAGACCACACCTCTTTCCAGGCTTACTGCTTTAATAACGTTTTAAATAAGTCATGAGCCCTCTAGTGAAAAGTTTTAGAAATTCCAGGACAGAAAATTCTTTTTTTAATTGAATCTGTTCTGGTCTTGCAGCTGTCTATAGAATGTTTTAGAGCCAGTTACAGTTATTACTATTAGTGTTAGAGACTGGCTTATCATTGCTGTTTAGTAAAAATGAAAGCATTGATTCTCATCAGAATGTCTGTTACTGGGTATTTTATTATTTTGGTATTGGAAAAATTGTATATTAAATATTTGACTGGATTTGGACTAATAAGAAAATTTGTTTTCTCAGTCACCCTCTCACTAGAGTAATTGAAGCTTTGGATTTTAAGTTTTATCTTGCTAATAAAAAAAATGTTCAGAAAAGCAGCAATAACTGAGACAAAATAAAAATGGTAAAAGGTGAAATGTGGGGGACAAATGAGTCAAAATGAATAAACAGGAAGTTAACCTGGATACTGGAATATTTGCACTGGGAAACTGCAGAAAGAAAAATAATTATTTATTTTGATAAATATTTATCATACATACTATTCTTGGTTCCTTGCTACATTTAAAGAAGGACAAGAAAGAATTACATGAAAAAAAATCATGCGACTTATAGAGAAGCGTTTAAAAAAAAAAAAAACTAATAAAAAAACCTGGGTGACTGCCAGGGGTTTAGGCCAGGGGGAAATTTTAGTGCTTAATGGGAACAGAGTATCAGTTGAGGAAGAAGAAAGAAGTTTTGGAGAAGGGAGTGGCGGTGGTTACTCACCAGTGTGAATATACTTCCTGCCACTAAACTTTGTACTTAAAATTTAACGTTCTGTTTACACTTAAAACTTTTTGTTAGGTTTATTTTACCACAGTAAAAACCAAACAAACCTGGGGACTTAAGCCAGAAGAAAGATTGCAAGGACTTAGTACAGCTGACAGACAGAGTTACCCCGTAGCCCTGGAGTTGATTATTAAGGGCGACAGTAGAATCTCTTTCTCTGGAGAATTAAAATCAACAACAGCAACAAGAGAGTCACTTCTGGGTGTGAAGGCTTGAAAGAATTCCCTTTAAAATGGAGTCATCCTTTGGATTGCTGACTCGCCCTTCAAGGCTTTTTCTAGGCATTCTCTCCGACACTGGATGCTACCGTCAGCACTTTCTCGCTTTTGCTGCTGTTCTGTGGCTGGGTCAGAAAGGAGGCGGTGTCATTGCCCACTCTCTCTCTCCCTCCCTGGCCTCAGCCGGCATTTTCCAGGCCATGTGCCTCCTGATCTGCGCGGAGATGTACCAGGTGTCCAGACTGCAGCACATATGTGAGCTCTTCATCATCACCCAGCTGCAGAGCATGCCGAGCCGGGAGCTGGCATCCATGAACCTCGACATAGTCGACCTGCTCAAAAAAGCCAAGGTAATTGGCCCCTACGTTTCTGGTTGGTTGATTTTTCAAAAAAAAAATTACAAAAATTATATTACTTAAAACACTTTTTTTGTTTGTTTCTCAAGAGTTGCATTACCCTTAAGAACTAATGAAAATTAATGAAAAAAAAAATTTGGAGAAGGAAATGGCAACCCATTCCAGTACTCTTGCCTGGAAAATCCCATGGATGGAGGAGCCTGGGAGGCTGCAGTCCATGGGGTCACAGAGAGTCGGACACAACTGAGCGACTTCACTTTCACCTTTTCACTAATGAAAATTAGTTCGGAAATTTGGCTGCATGAGTTAAATGTGCCCTGACAACACATCTGCAGATAATTTTGGAGCATAGTGTTTTTTGAGCAATGTTTTTCTAAGGAGATAGTGGCCAATATGGAATTTTCCCGACTGAATGGTGGTCCTTGTTAGCGTCAGTCGTGTGTGATGTTGTATTGTTCCATATAGGCAGTAGAGAAAATAGAACTTACCTTGAATTTCCCTCAACTGATCCCATCTTAGGATTCCGGAGAGAAAAATGGAGTCGTCTAGATTGCTGACTCACTCCTTCAAGGCTTTTTTAGGCATTCTCTTTGACACTGAGTGATTCATATATACTGATAAGAGTCGTACATACTGATAAGAGATGGTTAGGCTGAACTCATTTGTTTGTTCATTCATTCATTCATTCTTTCATACATCCGTTCACTTCATGAGCATGTTTTAAAGTTCTGGTTGTTTGTCGGAGGTGTTGATGAACTTCATCAGTTCCTTCAAACATCTTTTGTTGAAATGTCTCAATGTATGAGGAGTTACTCTAATATTCCATTGCCTGCCCTAAGACAGCCATCAGGGCACAGTGATTGATTCTGAACTTACATCAAGCTGAACCTTCTAAGTCTTTTTTTTCCCACAAGAATCTATTTGATCCATCATTACAGAAGATCAGGACTCTGTGAAATGTTATCTGGCCTACAGCATATTGGTTGTCCCTATCAACTTTGACATCCAGAATTAGGAAAATATGACAAGTTTGTCTTCATCCAAGTTGCTAAGATAGAGCCACGTAAGGGCGCAAAGGACTGACTCTGTGACAGCTAAAAGCTTACCTCCATGCTGTGTGTTAGTCGCTCAGTTGTGTCCAACTGTTTGCAACCCCATGGACCACAGCCCGTCAGGCTCCTCTGTCCGTGGATTTCTCCAGGCAAGCCCACTGGAGTGGGTTGCCATTCCCTCTCCAACCTCCATGCTGAGATGAATTTATTAATCCCTGTGTCCATTTCTGGGAATGGAAGGGAAATTCATTTAAAGCGTCTAGGTCTTCTCTTATTATCTCCATAGCTATTTTTCATTTCTCTCATAATCAAGTCCTCAGATCAGATGTATTTAATATTAGAGAAAAAACAAATTTTAAAAAAGAGAGTAACCTTTATCTCTCTTTGAAATATAATTACATTGAGCTTGGGATTAATAGCTATTCTCTAGATTTAGATTAAAAATTCTTTTTTATTCTTTCTAGCATTTTCACATTCATTTTTGATGTATCATTTTCATACATTCTAACGAGTCTTTCATACTTTAAAAAAAATGTAGACAAGCTTTGTTTTCCTTATCTTTAGTATCCTTTTTACATAGTTCATGCATAAGAGAACTTTCTGCTTGGTTGCACTGATTTCTTTAAGTGCCCCTCTCTCTCTCTCACACACACACACACACACGGTTCCTCATGAGAATCATTTACGACGTATTGTCAGAAATTCTTCCTGACCTGTTTTCCCTGAATGTGCAGTTTCTGACTGTGTGAGTGGTATACTTATTTTTCCCCTTGAATTTTTTAAGTCTAAGACACCAACACTTCTTGAATTTTACTGTTTCTGAAGACTTTTCTGTTTGCTAGCATTAAGCCTGCACTTGCTGTTTTTCCTTTAGTCTGTTCCTGGCAGTCCCTAATTTGCCAATATGAATCTCCGAAGCAGGATCAGTTTTCTTCCCAGTTCTCTTTGAAGTTCATAGGTTGACATTCAACTTTGCCAGCCCGTTCATTTGTCGGTCAGACTTTGATTGACCTTTCCCTCGTTGCTTCTTTGACTTCTGTCTTTTGGCACAATTAGACTTCTCGTGGCTCTCTGAATAATTGAAATTTCCAATCCCTTTATCATCTCCGTTGGTTTGGTATTGTATATCAGGAAAGCGTCATTCACATTTTTAAAAAAGTTTTAATAGAGAAAGGGGTCACAAAGAGTTTTAGGCAGGAGATAATTACTTATTTTTTAAAACATATTTATCTTGGCTGCATCAGGTCTCAGTTGCAGCTTGTGGGGTCTAGTTCTCTGACCAGGGATTGAATCCAGGCCCCATGTATTGGGAACATGGAGGCTTAGCCACTGGACAACCAGGGAAGTCCCACATCATTCACAGTTTTGGTACAGATAAGAAGTTTTGGTATTCTCTCACTTCTGCTGGAACTTCCCTCTAACCTCTCTCAGCTCTTTACCATGATTCTACCTTTAGATTCATATATTTCCATCAATTTGGAATCTTAACATGCAACAAAGGCTTTTTTCCCCCGCCTTAATCAGATCAGTTCCTTTGGATCGAGGTAGAAATGCTCTGTTCCTCCTCCCCTTTAAACCTTATCTTGGCTGACTTTGGTGATTCCTGTGAAGTCCTGTTTACTCTCACACGGAAGTGTTAAGTTTAATTCTTACTTATGATCTGTGCATTGATATTTGACTTCTTCAAGCCACCAGTTTTGTTTCTGACAATTTCCTTGTATATTTGGGGGGGGGCGGATACTTTCTCCATCATTACTATTCTTCACAGGGCTGTTAAATGCTATAGCATTTGCTTTATGGTATTTTTTTAAATGTCTTTTAAAATCCCATTATTTATTTCAGTTTAAACTGTCCTCTTGAGTCAGCACATATTCTTCCCAAAATGTAGTTTTTCCAGTGGGATGCATTTCATTTCTCGCCAAGAGCCCATAACTATAAAATCTTATTCAAACATAAAATTCTGCCCTTGAACTATGTTTTTTATAGCCAGCTATTCATTTCTGTGATCCCCCTCTCTCTTGAAGTCACAGCCTATAGGCAGTGTTCTAATCAGCAAAAACATAAAGTGAAAAAAGATTGTTAAAATGTGATATAGTATTAGATGAACTATAAAGTCTCTTATAATTCAAAAATTCCAATTTTGTATAATTAAAATCAGGGCTTCCCTGGTGGGTCCACAGTAAAGATTCCACCTGTCAATGCAGGAGACACGGATTCAATATCTGGGTCAGGAAGATCTCCTGGAGGAAAAAATGGCAACCCGTTCCAGTATTCTTGCCCAGAAAATCCCATGGGTAGAGGAGCCTAGCAGGCTATAGTCCATGGGGTCTCAAAGAGTTGGACTCGACTTAGCAACTGAACAAAATAATTAAAATCAGAGAGACATTTGAATTTACATGTTAAAATATTCCCACATTATGACTTAAAAAGAGCAATACTTGAGTTTCTTCCTTAAGATTTAAGATTACAAATCTGTTTTCAGTGTAGTATTACTTATTGCTTACATGGGCTTCCCTGATGGCTAAGATGGTAAGGAGTCTGCCTGCAATGCAGGAGACCCAGGTTTGATCTCTGAGTTGGAAAGATCTCCTAGAAAAGAGAAGCTCCGTTCAGTTCAGTTCAGTTGCTCAGTCATGTCCAACTCTTTGCGACCCCATGAACCACAGCACGCCAGGCCTCCCTGTCTGTCACCAACTGCCTGAGTCTACCCAAACCCATGTCAGGACACTCAAAAATAGTATAGCAACAGAAATACTGGAGTGGGTAGCCATTCTCTTCTCTTTAAGAAAGTTAGGGCTTCCCTGATAGCTCAGTTGGTAAAGAATTCAACTGCAATTCAGGGTACCCCGGGTTGATTCCTGGCTTGGGAATATCCGCTGGAGAAGGGATAGGCTACCCACTGCAGTATTCTTGGGCTTCCCTTGTGCCTCATCTGGTAAAGAATCTGCCTGCAACGTGGGAGACCTGGGTTCGATCCCTGGGTTGGGAAGATCCCCTGGAGAAGGGAAAGGCTACCCACTCCAGTATTCTGGCCTGGAGAATTCCATGGACTACAGTCCATAGGGTCGCAAAGAGTCCGACACAACAGCAAATTTCACTTAAGAGAGCTATTAATATATTTTGCCTAAGTCAGTCAGTTCCGTCGCTCAAGTCACGTCTGACTCTCTGTGACCCTACGGACTGCAGTACGCAAGGCCTCCCTGTCCATCACCAACTCCTGGAGTTTACTCAAACTCATGCCCATTGAATCAGTGATGCCATCCAACCATCTCATCCTCTTTCGTCCCCTTCTCCACCTGCCTTCAATCTTTGCCAGCATCAGGGTCTTTTCGAATGAGTCAGTTCTTTGTATCAGGTGGCCAAAGTATTGGAGTTTCAGTTTCAGCATCAGTCCTTCCAATGAACATTCAGGACTGATTTCCTTTAGGATGGACTGGCTGGATCTCCTTGCAAACTGAAGGAGTTTCTAGCCTAAAGGCAGACACAATCTAAATGTTTATCAACAGGTAAATGAATTAAGCAGATGTGATACATGCAGTGAAATATTACTCAGCCTTAAAAAGGAGTGAAGTTTGTATATATTGTGATCTGCATGCGTGTGCTCAATTGCTCAGTCATGTCTGACTCTTTGCGATCTCATGAACCCAGCCCACCAGGCTCCTCTGTCAATGGAATTTTCCAGGCAAGAATACTACAGTGGGTTGCCATTTCCTCCTCTAGGGGATCTTCCTGACCCAGGAATCAAACCTGGGTCTCTTGCATCTCCTATACTGACAGGCCAGTAGTGGCACCTGGGAAACCCGTGTGTCTGTGTGTGTGTGTGTGCATGTGAATTGGAGTATAGTTACTTTGCAGTGTTGTGATAGTTTCTGCTATACGACAGTGTGAATCAGGTATATGTGTATATATCTCTCTTTCCCTCTTGAGCCTCCGTCCCACCCACACCCCAGCCCACCTAGGTCATCACAGAGCACCGAGCTGAGCTTCCCGTGGTACATAGCAGCTTCCCACCAGCTATCTATTTTACACATGGTAGCGCGTCTGTGTGAGTCCTAATCTCCCAATTCATCTCGACCTCCTCTTCCCCCACGTGTCCATGTCTGTTCTCTACATCTGCGTCTTTATTCCTGCTGTGCAAATAGCTTCATCAGTACCATTTTTCTAGATTCCATATATATGCATTAATGTATAATATTTGATTTTTTCTCTAACTTACTTCACTCTGTATGACAGACTAGACTCATCCATATCACTGCCAATGACCCAGTTTTGTTCCTTAAAAAGTAATGAAGTTTTAATGCATGCTGCAGCGTGGATGAATCTCGGGGACCTTATGCTAAGTAGAATAAATCAGTCAGAAAAAAGACAAACAGGACATAATTTTGTATAACCTATATGAGCTACCTGGAATAGCCAAACTCATAAAAAATAGAATAGTGATTACCAGAGACTAGGGGTAGGAGAAAGGGAGAGTTATTGTTTAATGAGTACAGAGTTTCCGTTTGGGATGAGAAAAAATTTCTGCAAATAGATAGTGGTGATGGTTGAATAGTGATGTGAATATATGTAATGCCAACAAATTGTACACTTAAAGGTGGTTAAAATGGTAAGTTTCACGTGACATATATTTTACCACAGTAATACTGAAAGAACTAGACTCGTGTTCCAAAGTTGCCTGTCAGCAAGTTACTGTAATCTGAATTGCATGGTTGGATGGATTAGTCATGGGTTGGAGGTGTCAAGGTGATGATGTCATGGCCAAGTTTCTGAGTTTCCCTTTTATCAGCTGTTGGAACTCAGGATGATAAATGTGCTAGAAATCCTGCGAAGTGCAACATACATGCCAGTTATAAGTAGCTGCTCATCCATAACCTCACAGAAACACTCACATGTTGAAACCCATACCCTTAGATCAATGACATCTCCTCCTCAGAATATTCTTTGGTTTTCTCTGCAGGTGAATTTGTTGAGATATGGCCAAGTGTATACCTTTGTTAACCCTAATCATCTCTCTGCTACACAGATATTAGTTCGTGAAGGCCATAACCTTAGATGAAAAGCTTAAATGAAAATCCTCAAGAATCTCTAGTAGACTTTGTTACCCACAGATTTAGTCATGTATCTGCTTAAAAGCCTTTAAGCTCCTGTGGCCACTGTAACTGTTTCTTCATTTGATTTGATTTCTTCCTTGATGTGATTTTATTATGATTTGTTAATAAGGCTCCCTTTTCCTGCCTGCTGTCAGGTGGGCTGAAGGCTGCATCATGTACAGACACATTAAACATGGAATTGGGCCCTCCGTGAGTTCTCCTCCATTGCCTTGATCGTATCATCATTTTGATGGTCATTATGTACAGTATTGTTTCACTTTGCATTTTTCTTGCAGTTTCACCACTCTGATTGCCTCTCAACCTGGCTGCTTCATTTCATCGCCACTAACTACCTCATCTTCAGTCAAAAGCCTGAATTTCAGGATCTTTCAGGTAGATCGCTAATTAATGTTTTTGAGGAAAAAATGATACTCTTGTTTTCTTAGATTTGAGACATAATTTGTAGGAATAGTAGTTTTTAAAAAATAAGTCAGTGTGAGACATTCCTTTTGAGTATGCAGTGTGGTAATTGAGGATACTTACAGTAACCTGTGTTTCATAAGAAGCTAGACCTGTGTTGCATAAGACATTTTCTAATGCTGGTTTCATAGCTCCCATCCATTTTTAAGTGAGTTTTTTTGTGTGAATTCGATAAAGTGGCCTCCCATGGTATTTGGTTGTGATAAATGAGATTTGGTTTTAACCATCTAAGTCAGAAGCAACATTTAAATAGTTCAGCATTTAAGTTCTCTTCTTATAAAGAAAAATTTATCCTGACTTGTACTGGTTATCTCCTGTCTTTGTATTCATCCATCATATTATTTGGCAATAACAATTTTTTACTGATCAAAGAGCGTTGCAAAATTTACTGAGCAGAGAGTATACTTAATGTGATCTTTTCAGGTAAATTATAGAGATGAAAAATAATCAAAGGGTGAGCTTCTGAGTGCTGCGTAAGATCAAAGAAGATGAAAACAGAAGAGGCATCAAGGTAGTCAGTTTAGATAGAGTGGTTTGCTCAAGTTATTGCCTAAAAACAAGTCAAGGAGCGATCAAGTTATTGATAAAAAGGATAAGGTAAAGATCCCCCAGCCAAGCAGATTCAGAGGCCCAGCAGAGAAACCTCCCTGGCAGTGGCCAAAGGTCTTGGGAGGTAGGTGGGAGTGGGGTGGGCGGCAGAGAGGAGGGAGGGAGGGGGAGGACCCAGAGCTGGCTGTTGAACTCCTGCCCGCCACCTTCATCCGGAGTACTTCCCTTTTACCTGCGGAGATCTGAGAATTCTATGTAAAAATTGGCTTGTAAGAGAGAATCTGATGCTAGACGAGGTGGACCTCTCTTGTTTTCATTCGCCTATTCATTGCATAGTTAGGGAAACCAAGAAACACAGTCAGTTTTAGGCAGATGTATTTAGCCAGCCAGCACACATTGGGTGCCTGTTGGGAGCCTCTTTCCACAGAATGTGCAAGAACCAGAATTCATTCTTAAACATAAGGCATACATCCCCTTACTGGTGTTAGTAGGGGGCATTCTTACGCAGTTATTCTTTAATCAGGCAATTAAAAATGAAATAAATGGACATTTTGATTTTAGGGCCACCTTCATTATGCCTCCTTAAGTCACCTTCATTCATGAAAGACAAGATTATTTTCCAATTACTGTTCTGTGTAGATGTGTGATACGCGTGTGCTTCCTAGGTGGCGCTAGCAGTAAAGAACATGCCTGCCAAAGCAGGAGACTTAGTAAGAGATGTGGGTTCAATTCCTGGGTCGGGAAGATCCCCTGGAGGAGGGCATGGCAACCCACTCCTGTATTCTTGCCTGGAGAATCCCATGGACAGGGGAGCCTGGTGGGCTACAGTCCATGGGTCACAAAGAGTTGGACACGGCTGACTGACTGAGAATGCATGCATAGGATACCCATGGAGTACTGTTGCAACTTAGGGAGAAAGATGTTCTCTGAATCCTTTGAGTTATTCATTTTTATTTCATTTTATTACTTATACAGTTGTCTATTAAGCATGTTATGACCACCTGGCGTAGTGAGAAGCAGGACTCCAGGGTGTAATTTGAGAAGGCAGGGTAAGAAAATGAGACTATGTCAGTGACTGTCTCATGTTCCTTTGGTGGAAATAAAAATAGTATCCTGAGTGCTCTGAGTCAATGGTGCCTGTTCACATCCAGGACCTGTTGTGATATGTCCTCTTGGGCAGAGAAAAAAAAAAGTCCCTGTGTATAAGGGAGAAGTTGATGGCCTGTATCCGCAGTCACAAATTGACAAGTCTGTGGGTTGAATATAACTTGCCCAAGGATCTTATTTCAACCACATGGTATTATAAATTCTTTTAGTGTCAACATTTAAACATTGTAACGTGTCACATTTTTAAGAATTGAAATTTCTGGCTTCTTTTGAAAAGTTGGAAGATCTGGTGCTCCTGGGCCCATCTTCCGAGCTGGCGACACCCTGAAATGGAGCATTACCGCCCATGTGCCCGACACAGTGCCACAGTCTCCTCTCTTCCCAGATGCCTGACTCTCGGCCTACTTCACGTGGGCCCTTGAAATTGAAAGGCTTCATGTCACAGTCCCTTTACAGCTTATTTAAAGAATGGCTCATTTTCAGCCTCAAAAATTATCAGATTATTTTTGGAATTATAAGAAATGTTTTCCCTTAACTGGGAATTTTTCTTCATTAGAGGTGTTCAGAAATGGAAAAGTGAGACTGGACAAGACCTTGTGTTAATGCTGCCGCCGATACATCATAACTCAGTGAAAGAGCTCATTAAATACTAGGTGTATTTTACATACCAGATTCATATGAAAGCAAACAGCAATGCACAGGAATATGTTACTCTTGGCACTTATGGATTCATTATTCTGTTTAATTTATCTTAGTATTATGTTTTACATTGTAACAGGTTTTTTGGTCTTGTTTTGATTTTTGCTGGCTACCAGAGCTCATCTGCAATAAATTTTTTCTCTCTTTTCTTTAATGTTAACCGAGGGAGCAGTCTTAAGTGTACAGTTGACTTCCCTGAGCAGCTAGGCCCCGCAGCCTGGATCAGGACCTTGCTAATGCAAATTATAATAGATGGGATCAAACAGTAGATGGAGAAGTGGAAACTGGCATAGCAGAAGGAAACCTAAATGCCCACAGAAGGGAATACTAATGAGTAACAAGCTGATCCAGCCAGCAGAATACTGTAAAACCTTAAAAATTTGTGGGACCTGGTATTTCAGAAAGCAGAATGAGATTTGGGGCTGAAAGCCGCAGAGCTAGTTGAATGCTTCTGCTGCACGCTGTCCTGCCCAGGCAGGGAGCTGCTCCCTGGCCATCACAGGCATTGGGGGTGTATTCCTGGAAAAGCTAAACCGAAAAAGCTAGAGAATCATAAACTCAGAGTGTAGCTGAGGTTGGGGCAAGGAGCTGGACTGAAAACATAGGGATTGTGTGCAAGTGCACACATTATGCAGTAAGCCTCCAGCCTCCTTCCCACCTCCAGCTTCTGGAGTTTTGGCAACCAGGTATTTGATTCCCACCTTGACTCTTCACCAGGCAGCAAGTTCTGCCCATGCCCCAAAGATTTCCAAACAGCTTTCTAGCATTTTACTTTTAAATATGTAGAGATTAACTGAGGATCAACTGGTATTTGAGGCACTGTCCAATGGGAAAGATGAATACCAAAACAAAATGAAGAAAAATGGAAGAGAAGGAATTTATAGGAACAAAGAGTAGATGGAAATCTTAAAAAAAAAAAACCAAAAACCTGTAATTAATACCTGCGAAGAATAAGAGATACATGTTTGTAAAGATAGAATGTTATAAAAGAGAAACAGCATTCGTAGAGACCGAGTGTAGAATAATGGTTGCTGGGATGTGGGGAGGGGGGACAAGGCAAAGATGTTTGATGGGTGTAGAGTTTTAGTTTTGCAGGATGAAAAGAGTTCTGGAGATTGGTTGACAACCATGTGAATGTACATAACACGACTGAACTATACACTTAAAAATAGTTAAAATGGTAAATCTTATATTACATGTATTTTAGCATAAAACGATAAAAGAATAAGAAGTTGCTCTTGAAAATTAGGATAGCAAAAAAACCTGTAACAGAACAACCAAACAACTAAATAAATAAACGAGTAGAAAGATCAAGGTAAGGAAATCTAGAAAGTAGGACAAAAAGAGGAAAAAAAGGTTTAAAAAAAAAAAAAAAGGAAAAAAAGGTTTTAAAAAAAAAAAAGTTGGAGGCTCAGTGCAGGAGTGCAGTATCTGAGTGATAGAAGTTAATACAGGAAGAAAGAAAAAAACACTGAGGAGGAAATTATCACAGACATAATAGAAGAAGTTACCCCAGTACTGAAGGAACTGAATCAGCATATTAAAAGGCTCTGCCAAGTGCTCAGCTTAGTGAATGAACAAGGTCCATCATTGGATATGCAGGAACACCAACTTATAAATAGGAAAATGTAAATATTTGTAAAATAAAAAAACCCTGCAGATGACTTATCAGCGACTGTGAATCTGAATGGTAGTAGGAAGCAACGGGGTACTGTCTTCAACATACTGAGACCAGATGACCTGTTCAGTGTAAGATGTCTCATCACAAACAAGGTCTCAAAAATACTTCTTACGCTTGCCCCCCCTTTCAGGAAGCTAATTAAAGTTGTGCTTCACCCAAACTAGAGAAAACAGAGTGAAAAGACTTTGAAGTCTAGAGCAGAGGGAAAAAGAAGGGGAGGACTTCAGAGTTTGGAAGGCTGAGTTAGCGCCAAGGAAAACTAATTAAATGAAAACCACAAAGTCCTTCATCTCCGAGAAAAAAGAAGTCTTACTTGGGGGAAGAAAGAAAAAAGGACGTAATCAGATACTACTTGAAGAAGCAGTGACATGATGTATATAGGAGTCACTTACATAGGAGTGACTTATATGTATGTAAGTCACAGGACAGCGTGAATCCTGATGAGTGATTGAGAGGAGGGGAGGAAGTATACAGCAGAGCTTGGATCTCATCTGTCACACAGGAAACCAATACTTAATATTGAAAGTTGATCCCAAATAAAATATATTCAATTAATACTCTTTTTCTAAAACTTTTAGTGGAAGAACGCAGTTTTGTTGAGAAGCACAGATGGCCATCGACTATGTACTTGAAGCAGCTTGCGGAATACAGGAAGTATATTCACTCCCGGAAGTGTCGTTGCTTAGTAATGTAACCTGGAGTTTTTATATCCATGCATTTTTTTTCTTGTTATTATGAAGAATGGGGTACTTCTGGGTTCCAGGAAAATTCTTGCGACTGAAACCAATATGGGAGTTTAAAAAGATCACCATTCAACTTAACGTGCTTATTAGATCTTGCTGGAAAAAACTATCATTATGATCTTAAAAGGGAACAAAATATACTGTAGGTTAAAATGAAGACTTCACCCTAGCACATAAAGCTGTGTACAGCTACTTTTTCCTTTAAGATTCCTTATTGGTTTAGTGATCCCTTCCATTTAAGAAATGCTCAAATTTTTTAAAAATCATGTAGTATTAACGCAGAAATTTCATCATCTGATTAATTGCTCTATTAAAATAAGGGCCATTTAAAGACCCAGTGTGACTGTTTCTATAATGAGAAATCTAGAAGACTGATCAAACTGAGATCTTGGAAATTTTCCTGGGATTTTAAACATGAAATGCCACTTCATTCCAAATCAAGTGACAGTGTTCGAACCATAATGAAAAAAAAAGTCTGTTTTTTAATCCGCACAACCCAGCTGATCCACCTTGCCTCTCCTCCATGGTTCTTATTAGCCAGGAAATCTGTATAGGGCTGGCTTTGTGGCCATGTAGCCTGTGTGCTCACACAGGGCCCACTGCTTAGAAGGGCACCATGCTTGATCCACTGCCCTGCGATCGCCGTCTTAAAATTCATGATGTTTGAAGGAGGGCCCTGCATTTTCACTCTCTACTGGGCCCCCCAGATTATGCATATCTCCTTGCAGGGTATGTTATCTTGCTCAGAACGTTATCTTCTCTGAAAGCAGAAAAGAGGCACTGACATCAAGCAAAACGAAGGAAGCTTGCTGAGGAAATGGATCGTGTGGGGTTTCTCCCACGGGGAAGTCTGTACGACCCAGGGCCTCGCTCCTCTGCCACCTCAACTGGCAAGTGAGAAATGCGTCGTGTTGGTTTCACTTGGAGACACTCAGAGTCCTGGCTCCACACAGATAAATACTTTCCTGACCACTCTGTAAGACCAGGATGTTGGTAAAAGTGACTGGCCAGTGTGACTTTAATATGCATTTATGAAAATACTCATAGGAAAAGATGCTTTCTAGAGAATTTGCAGTCAAAGACTCAAGAATTTTCTTTCTTTAAGTGTATTTACTCACATTAAGATGTCAATGGCTTGAACTGTGTGAATTCTGTCTGTGAACTGAAAGGGTATTTAATGAAGAATAACATGAATCTTGTCCTTCAGGATTTTATCTAGTAAGTTCAAAGAAAGAATATAAATCAAAACTTGTTGCATGGAAAGAAAAAGGTACTAAGAGGACAGAATTATAGTTTCTTTTGAATCACATGTCAGCAGAAACAATTATATCAGAAGCTTAGAAGCTGAGAGATGGAAAACCAGATTACTATTTATTGTTAGCATCCTTTTCATCTGTAATAAAGTATTGGAATATATTTTTATTTTAATTCCCAGTGACTTTAGAATACACATAGTTTTTGCCCACCTTCTAGGGTTTGTTTAAACAGTTTTATGCCATAGATTAGACACAATACTATACAGTTAGTCCTTGAATGTTTGCCAACAACTGTCAGAATAAAACAGTAAAAATCCCCTACAGATATCTTACAAGAAACCTGATTTTAATTGGATTGTGTTGATAAAGATTACTGGAATGCATTTTTAATTTTTGTATTTAATTCATTTGAATTAATCAACTCTCCCACTTGACAAGGATTAGCATTGTAAAGGATAAATACTGAAGGAGATTTTTAGTAATTCATTCACATTTAAGGCCTTTTGAAATGTAATGATAGCCTTTTGCTTTTCATAAGCATATCCTTACCCCTACATTAATTACAGCATTATGTCTAAGTAACTTTTAAGCTAGGACATTGAAAAATATAAGTGCTAAAGTAAAATATTTCCTTGAAAATACTATTTAACACTTCAGTAGACTGTAGATAGTTTCTAGGTTGTTGGCCCTAAGTGGAGGTTGGCTTTGGGAGCTGCTGTTCCATTGGCATTGAGCACGTAGTTTTTATTTTGAAAGTTCTTTGCCTCCTGCGAGTGACTCAAACACAGAGATGTCACAGCTCTCCTGTGCTAGTCAGAACAGCAATCAAGTTAGTGTTTAAACCTAGACTCTTCAATACCTTTGGATTAACTCGATTTAAAATAACAAGAGGTTTTTAAAAACAGAAAATGTACAAACTCTCTTGGAAAATGAGTGCTCTTTTAGAGTTTTTCTAATTGAAAGATTATTTCTAGGCGAATGTATGCTTTGTGCTGATCTCTGCTTCAATATATTTATCAGTCATTTTATTTAGAGAAGATACTGTACTCTGTCAATAGAACTAAGGCCTTTTCTTTCTGGGCCAGATTTTCACCTTATATAACCCCTTATATACTTCTGACTACTCTGTGTTCACATTGTAGAGAGTAGGCCTATAATGTAGAAGGTTTCGGTAACCTACCTGAAATTCACCTTGTCTAATCCAGCACTGTGGTTTCCTGTTGGGCCAAAGCAGAAAACTGAAGAACTAGGTAAATTTGACTTTCTGGACAGCTGAACTTCTCAACTGTAATTTTAAAAACTACACTACACTGATACAGCTAATCAGACAAAGACGTCCTCGTGTATTTTATTTAATTTAAATCATCTGTTTAATTCTGTCTTGAATAATTTTGCAAAGAAGGGTATGTGTGTATTTTAATATAGCCTGACCTGAATTTATATGTTTTTAGTTTTAGTATTTAACACTTTTGTAACAAATAAACCTTTTTTTTTAAAACAAGCTTCACACAGTGTTGTGTAGTTATTTTCACTTTGGATGTGAATTGCTGAAGTAAATTTGGGAATCCTGCCTTGTATTTCTCAAGCATAATTGATGAAAACCATTATGTGCAAAATATTTAGAATGTTGATATGTTAGCTGTGATGAGATAAAGAAATTTATTATCTTTAACAACTGGTAGAATTTCTCTTAACAAGAATATCTTATTTCTTTTTAAAAAATACTTTGATAATTATGTAGCATAGAAATGAGCACTTATGTGTTATTTTGGGGGCAAGACTTTTGAGAAACAGAGGCAACTCCACATAATAGCAGGTTAAGAATTTGGGTCTTTCCAGCAAAATGAAAAGGCACTCTGCTGACTGGGAGAAAATATTTGCAAGTTCTATATCTAATAAAGGGTTAGCATCCAAAATATGTGAGGAACTCATATAACTCAATAGCCAAAAAAAACCCCAGATAAGCCAATTAAAAAGTATTCAGAGGATCTGAATAGACCTTTTTTCAAAGAAGACATGCAGAAAGCAAGCAGGTACATGAAGAGATGCTCAGGATCATTAATTTTCAAAGAAATGCCAATCAGAATCACAATGAAGTATCACCTCACACCTGTCAGAATGGCTATCATCAAAAAGACAGGAAATAACTGTCAGTGAGGATGTGGGGAAACATTGAGCACTGTTGGTAGAGATGTAAACTGGTACAGCTACTATGGGGAACAGTATGGAGGCTTCACAAAAACTAAAAATGAACTACCATATGATCCAGCATTTCCACTTCTGGGTGTATATCTGAAGAAAATGAAAATGCTAACACAAAAGGATATCTGCATTCCTGTGTTCATCACAGCATTGCAGTATCCAGGATATGGGAATAACCTCAGTATCCATCAGTGGGTAAATGGATGAAGAAAACACGCCATATATATGTATATGCACATACAATGGAATATGATTTGGCCATAAAATATAAAATCTTATTATTTGTGACAACATGAACGGGCCTTGAGGACATTGTGCTGAGTCAGAGAAAGACAGATGCCATATGATCTCACTTATGTATTGCTGTTGTTCAGTCGCTAAGTCATGTCCTACTCTTTGTGACCCATGAACTACAGCACACCAGGCTTCCCTGTCGTTCAGTATCCCCTAGAGTTTGCTTAAACTCATGCCCACTAAGTTGGTGATGCCATCCAACCATCTCATCCTCTGTAGTCCCCTTCTCCTCCTGCCTTCAATCTTTCCCAGCATCAGGGTCTTTTCTAACGAGTCAGCTCTTCGCATCAGATGGTCAAAGTATTGGAGTTTCAGCTTCAACATCAGTCCTTCCAATGAATATTCAGGGTTGATTTCCTTTAGAATCGACTGATTTGATCTCCTTGCAGTCCAAGGAACTCTCAGGAGCCCTCTCCAGCACCACCATTTGAAAGCGTCAGTTCTTCAGTGCTCAGCCTTTTCTATTGTCCAGCTCTCATATCCATACATGACTACTGGAAAAACCATAGCTTGGACTGTCCTGACATTTGTTGGCAAAGTGATGTCTGTGCTTTTTAATATGCTAAGTTTGTCATAGCTTTTCTTCCAAGAAGCAAGTGTTTTAATGGCTGTAGTCACTATCTGCAGGGATTTTAGAGCCCAAGAAAAGAAAATCTATCAGTGTTTCCACTTTTTCCCCATCTATTTGCCATCAAGTGATAGGACCAGATGCCATGATGTTAGTTTTTTGAATGTTGAGTTTTAAGCTAGGCTTTTCCCTCTCCCCTTTCACTTTCAGCAAGAGCTCTTTAGTTCCTCTTCACTTTCTGCCATTAGAATGGTATCATCTGCATATCTGAGGTTATTGGTATTTCTCCTGTTAGTCTCAATTTCAGCTTGTGATTCATCCAGCCTGGCATTTCACATGATGTACTCTGCATAAAATGTAAGTAAGCAGGGTGACCATATGCAGCTGATTTACTCCTTTCCCAGTTTTGAACCAGTCTGTTGTTCCATGTGTGGTTCTAACTGTTGCTTCTTGTCCTGCTTACAGGTTTCTCAGGAGACAGGTAAGGTAGTCTGGTATTTTGATCTCTTTAAGAATTTTCCGTAATTTGTTGTGATCCACACAAAGGCTTTGGTGTAGTCAGTAAAGCAGAAGTAGATGTTTTATTAATTCTCAAGCTTTTTCTGTGTTCCAACAGATGTTGGAAATTTGA